ATATAACAAACCTATTCGAGCTTTCTGCTCCTTCCACCATTCAAGTTCCTCCGCGGAAGAGACTCCTTCTATCAATCTCTCCCACCACGCTCCTTTGAGGCGTACATATTCATCCCGTTTTGAATTAATTATGGCATTGCGCTCATCAGCATTACTCTCCCAGGAGTACACTCCCAGGAGGAACAGCCCAAGCTTCTTTCCGAACGCCATCGTTTGGATTAAGGCCGCCATGGAAAATCCTCTCCTTAGCCTCGTCTGGCGTAATCTGTAAATGTCCAGTCGTAGGATCAAACCAACCATTCCATTCTTCCATGGTTACTGGTTTTCGTTTGTCTGCAAGAGAGAGGTTTGCTGCTTCCATATTTAAGATTTCGAATTCACCGACTGAGCTCTCTTCCATTTCCATCATGTCTCTTGCTGTCCAAATTCGCTGATTTCGCTCACGCTCGCTCTGCTCAGAGATCCCCATTGCCCACCGTGCCAGATACAGCCTAGCACTATCAAACTCTTCTTGTAAAGTCATGATCTCGGGGTTTCTCATGAGGCGTCTAACCTGAGGTGGAACTTTTGGATTATCTGCAATATCTTGTGCAGTCCTTCTGGTAAAGGTGGTGATCTTGCTGAGCTGCTCTAGGACCTTCCACCGTGTTTCTTTCAGCACTCGAGTGAAAGGATCCATGCCGCCATCTCTCTGGTTTCCGCCTTGTCCGTTCTGCGAAGGTTGTGATTTATGGACAGTCAAGGGATGGCCGAAGGACAACTTATCTTCCTCCGACGGATTGATAAGAAACGCACTGGGATCTGCACCAGATCTCTCCACTGTTACGTATCTTTTTAGCCATCTTAGAACCTCATCGCCACCCCAAAACATATTTCCATCTTCACCAAAAGGATCGAAACTCTCCCTTGTCCTTTTCTTCTTCTGCAAAATGGTAGATTCGCATTCCGTGTCATGGAAGAACAGAGCTGGAAAACTGTCACCGGCTCGTGTATTTATAACCAAGCTACCAAACCACCAACCCAAACTTGGCGGGCGAACTATTATCGAGTATATTTGGTTTAGAGGAACTGCAAACGCATATAGGCCGATGGAACCAGGAGCAGAAGTCGTAGTGGGAAGCGGTGGTACCAGATACGACTGGAGAGGAGGAGAGCTACTATTGGACAAATCAACCTTTACGTAGGTGCTATATGCATCTCCCAGAGAAGACTCTGGAACCCAAGCAAGCAGGTATGAAGATGCGTCGGCCCTGGGCCTATGAGAGGAAGAATCAGAATGATCGCGTTCATTACGAGAAACGGGCTTTTGTTGTATGAGAGCGATAAAACCAGGTAGATTATCTTTCGATGAAGGTGTAGGGTGCACATAGACCTAAATTCAAAGCCCATGTTAGATCGACTTTTCTCCCATATCTGAGCTTAGCCCCCCAACTTTGCACAGGGCCAATTGGATTTCATCACACAAACGGGTTAGGTATTCATACCTTGCTTTTGGAGAATAGCAGCTTTACTCCTTTACCCGTACTGGTGTGGGTAATTGTGTTATATTCGCCCTCCTCGTCGTCGCTCACATCGTAGAAGGAAGCTGTAGGGGATGCTGGGGGCGTCAGGCGGGCGGATGACCCCGCCATACTGAAAAGTTGGATACACCCTAGAAATAGACAGGATGGGAAATGGTGAACTGTTGAGTTCAACCGAATAGGCTAGGTATTCGAACTCAGTGGTGATATGCCATTAGAACATGAGCATATCGGAATGTTGACGATGGTTTATTCAAACGGTTAGAACAGCCGACCGGATAATGCAGATGCCTGGACGGGATAAACCAGTTAAACCAGTTTAATAGTTAGTTAATGATATCTGGCACTGACGTAAGTATTAGGGCTGGGCTAGTCCATATTGGGATTTGGCACGCAACGATGAAGTCTCACGTGATATCAATATGAATATATCTATCTACCAGGGGGTATCGGTCTTCCTGAGGAAGTTCATCCACAGATCAACCCCGTGGATAGTACTGAAAGATTCCAAAGGGGGCATGAAATGTGATAGGAGGACATTTTGCAAATCCTGTTACGGACGTTTCATTGCCCCTTGCCATATATAAGACGTAGCAACCTGCAAAAGAGAGCGCTGGCTTCTGTGGAAGGAAGATATACTCTCTTGTACAACAGTTGTAGGAGGCATCTCGAGGAGATCACGGAGTTTGATCACTGAGGATTGAGAATGCTTATCATGATGGATGGCCTGCTTTATATTGCAGTCAGGTTGCCCCCCATGAAGCAGACAGGCTCCACAGGAGAAGGCTGGCAACACTTCTAGTCAGCGCTGAGCACAACCTCGGAGTGCTACAGTTGAGGCAGAGTAATCTCTCTCCTGTGAGTCATGATGCGAAAGATATAACCGCGATACCCCCAATTCGAAGATGATAGATGACTTCTCGAAGACGTTTCTCTACCCTTGTGAATGCCAAAACCTTTTCAACCGAATTCGGCATCTGGAATTCTCCCTGGGACTTACCAATTGGCTTCTGTACACACCTTCTGCCGCGCATGTAGCCTTACGGGAGTTAGCAAGTCAAGTAGATGGAGACATGGAATCATTTTGTTCTACCTAAATGACCAACATAGCGGATGAAATTTGCGATTTGAACCTGGGTTGTTTCGACGTTTCTGGGGTTACCGATTGCTACGGGCCCCCCATTTGAGGTGATATTCGTCGTCTCGATACTTCATTTTTCCATCCAGCAGTTACTAGCGCTTTTTGTTTCGCTTTCCTCTGCGGTTCCTATCCTCCCAATCACACTGCCTGACGAGCAAACCTGAGATGTTAAAATTCGGCTTGATTGGGGCTAAAAATATCCTGAATGGTGGAAGTGAAGGAAACTTGCCAACAAACCATACGGCCTGATATAACTTCAAATATAGCCCGTTCTGGAGAAATGAATAACGCAGCATATTGCCACATTCGACCTAAAGCTGGTAATGAACAGCTGATATGACCTTTAATTTTGTCCCACGACTGAGCTTCTATACCAAGCAGAGATCTCTGGTCACACATTTCAACCATCGAGTAGAAACGTTTCCATTAGCGCATATTTTCCTTTATATATCGCTGGTTCAGTGATGTTTAACTCGTGGAAATGAGTCTACCTACACCGGATTTGACAACCCTTTTAAGGAACTCACCCTGACATCCGCATGAGTCGATGGACGTGGGCCTAACTGGAGTTTTGACACAAGTAATAAGCCCCTTTCCGACGTGTTATTTAAATGCGTGGATTTCATCCATTTTCTCTGATATTTAAACAATAGGTTCAAATGGCGGAATTCCAAAGAACTCTTCCTGCCTCGTGGTATAGGAGTCTTCCCCTCTACAATCTTGAGCGCCGTGCTGTGTTTCTGAAGGTGCGCAGCTTTTGACAGCTTTTGACATTTTGCACCTGTAAAACTGACATTAGCTGAAATTATATATTTAACCTAATAGTCATGGTATCTCCTTGGTCCGGTAACACGCTTCAACGGAGTTGACCCCAAGATTCGCTATGAAATTGCTCAGGAACGTCTTTTTGTTCGAAGAAAATATGGTATTTCAGCTCTCCCTACACCCGAAGAGTTGGAAGTGATTCATGAGGGCACGGTGAGGATCATTACAAGTGTCGCTCTGTTTCCATCCAGGTGTTGATCTTTGTTTCTTAATTTGTCAAGGGGTTGAAATTACCCAGCCATCTTACACCGACGGGACTACTGTTCGCCGGGATATCACAGGAGGCGCCAGATTTTTATGAGTTTTACCCCGACCTAGAGCCTCTTATAGCAAGAGTAGACTTCACCCGGCTCCCTTACCGTCGAAGCATCAAGTATGAAGGGAATTTCAATTGGAAAACAATGCATGTCTTGCCACCCCCACGCTCCACTGGCGCCCGTTTTAACATATGATTCACAGGGTGGACGGGTATCAAGAATGTTTGCATTGCCAGTATACTCACCCTTCGTTTTCCGTGTATTACCCTCCCACATTCTATTCGGTGCATAATCACTTGAACTTTTCTCAACACATCGCCGACCCGAAGAAGCCGGATGATGGACTTTTCCTCTATTTCTTTCCCAATTGCACGTTGAACGTGTACGGTGGGGGAATGTCTTCGTTCCGCGTTTGCCCAACCGAGGATCCAAAAGTTACTAGGATGGAATTCGATTACTACCACCTCGAATCAGGCCACAAATTTGAAGATTATTTCAAATTTGTTCGTCAAGTGGCCATGGAAGACTATGAGCTTTGTGAAAGAGCGCAGGAGAACTTGCAAAACGGTGTATATAATGAGGGAATCCTAAATCCGGTTAAAGAAACCGGAGTCATATGTGAGTCAATTTTCAGGCTCATAAATCAACAAGGTCTATACGAGGCTGATGTCGCATTTGCAGACTATCAAAACCGCGTTTTCGGCCTGGTTACTGAGCAGTACAAGCTTGAGAAACATAAGATGGCTTCGGAAGAGGCGGTGGAAGATGGACCCGGAGACCTGGCCCAATCGTGCCAAAGCACTCTATAGCTAGCCACCAGTCAGCAGACAGACATTCTCGCCTATTTCTCTATGTTGGTACTCGGTGAAATATTTACGTACGCTATAAAAATCTTTCAACAAGAGCTGTTAACTTACATACAATTATATTTTCCTTATCTGGAACCCTACCTCTAAAGACACATATGGATTTAAACAGTGACTCTAGAGAAGTAGCCGGAGGGGAAGATGTTACACTATTTTAAACCCACGTACGTAGCCCGCCGGTATCAAGCAAGGTACTTGACAGGTCCCACGTATCCATAGCTATCCCAGACAGTCTAGACCCTCCGCATTCGCTGTGATCTGTCCCTCTCTAGCACTCTTCCTCCCCGCCACACAAAATGACGATATGCAATGGAGCTGTCGTTCCAGCTTGAGAGTCGTTGCGGCCGGCTGGCCCGAGTTAAAATCATCTCGCCAACTAAGTAACTAACTAACTAATTGGTCATGCGGGGCTGTTTGCCGAAGCTCATAAACCTAGCTCCAGCCAGTGATCTGGTCAATGGGAATTCTCGCCTGATTGGGAAATATTTTGGGCATCCAATCAGAATCGGGTCCAAATAATAATAATAATAATAATAATAATAAAAGTAAAGAACTATTTGGATTGGTATCCAGAGTACATCCATTACTTTGTTTGCTCAGTGATTGATAATAAGGGTTTTAAAATGCAGGGTGGCGGAGGAATCTACTCTTATCGCCTCCGTAAGGATGCTTTTGATGGAATAAAAAAAGGGATAGCTAAGTAAAACCAGGCATGCGGAAGGAAAACACGGATAGGAGGACGGTGAAAGACGATCTGCAGTGGGATGGGAATGCAGCTGGTTTCCGCTATTTAGTTAGATGACAAGTCGCATGCTTGCTGGAATTCTTAAGCACAAATATCAGGAAGGGGTTCTCGCAATGAACCCCATATATTAAGATTCCCTCGTCCCAGTAACATACTCTACGTATTAACACCCTGCGCGAGTGGTATTATCGAATTAATATGATGGAATGTTTCACCTCATTACTATCAACAACATACGTCCTCGGCTCAATCCCGATTATTCTCCTTGTCATACTCGCAGTGACGCCGGTAGATGGCAATTTATCAAGGAAATCCTTATTGTCATGGCCAGTGGCTCGTCCACTTGCCTCTCTCTACTCGTTCTTGATAGAGGTTGCTCAGCCGGCAACTGTTACCACCATCAGTGATTGGGATGCGACGGAAATTAGGGAATCATCTTCAATAAACGTTTCCAAAGAATCTGATTTTCCCGAGGGCTGGTGGACGGGGGATGAGGTGTTTCTGTTGGAAAGACGGGCGATCTTTAGTAAGGTAAGGGAATGTATACTTCCACGAGTTTGCCTGGATGTGTTCGGTTTATCAAAACCCAAAGAAGCCCGTCCCAAACACATATATCCCAACGATGTTGAACGTGACGACAGCTGGAATATTGGGGATGAATCTCTAGCTGAAGTCTTGTCCCACTCAGCCAAAGGAAAACTGATAAAGTAACCAGACTAAAAACAGGCATGGCTGTTCATCGCCCACACTAGCCTCTTCGTCAAACCGGGAGACTATCACGCTTTCGAAATATGCGGTTTCCCCCTTTTCCTCATTCAAGGGAAAGATGGCATCATCCGTTCTTTTCACAATGTCTGCCGACACAGAGCGTATCCGGTCATCTCAAGGAAGAAATCGGGATCGACGACTGTGATAGGGTGCAGATATCATGGCTGGAGTTATGATACTCAAGGTTACTTGATCAAAGCGCCACAGTTCGAATGCCTGGAAGGTTTTGACAAGTCTCAGAACAGTCTGTTTGAGATCCACACGAGGATAACGAAACATGGTTTTATATTTGTGAATTTGGATGCTCGTAATGACGTGGCCGAGCCTGAACTTGAGGTTCATGCCATCGACAGATTTGCAAATGCGAATCGAATATCGAGGAGGTCTTCACGGATCGATGGGTGGGAGGTTGAAGGGAGATTTAATTGGAAATTGGCTGGTGAGTCTGGAGCTATCAAGGTCCTTGCAGTATAGGAACCTTCTGGAACTAGGAAGGCATTGAAAAATCCAAGAAGAGAGCTGATCATGGTTCAGTCCTGGACATGCATGATAATAATCACTCTTCAGCGAGAACGAACCAAGAATCGAGAAATTTACGTTCAGTTCTCCAATCGATGTTTAGTGTCAGCAGCAGGGATCAAAACAGATACCGATATACCAACCTGGGTGTATTCCCTGCCTCTTCAATCCATGTTACCGGGAAAGGGGGCATCTGGTTTTCTGTTTCAATAGTGCCGATGAACGTAGGCCGCTCATCCGTCCGCTGTGATATATACGAACACTTTGCAGTACGGAACGCAGACAGAAAGCATGCGGTGGTAGCGGATATAAAACCTTGGTTTGCATCGAAAATAGCAAAACTGGAAACTGCTTACAAGACATTGAATGCCCCTGGAAGGTATGGCACCCAGGAGAGCTGGTAGGAGTCATATAGCACTGCTTTAGAGCTGACAGTGCTTTATCGAAGCTGCAAAACCGATTGTGACAATCAACTCAGCCTCAGAGATGGGATGGTTGGTATGTATCCCATGAATTCTAGCACATCAGGATAGAATACTGACTGGCTTCTACCCAGAAGCCCGTTTGCATGACAACGCATTGCAAGAGCTCATCCTCTCAAATTTAAAATCTCATCTTACACTCGAGCGGGTTCAGGGGGAAGAAATCTGGCCAACTGTCCAACTGTCAAGCACCAGCGACAAATACAAGCGAGCAAATGAATGTAGGTTTGTTTCATATGCCTGCCTCGGTCCTCAACATGAAGGCCATGATATACTTCTCCGGCTGTGGCATTTGAAATAGTAAATGCTTATTGTTTCACCTTCTGTCTAGTATGCAAAGAGCTCGAAGCCTTTGTTGAAGATGCCGGTTGTTCAAAGGGTCTCAGTAAAACAAGGGTCAAGGACCCCCTTGATTGGTGAGAGGGTCTTTGGGTGATTTTCAGGCCGTTACTCGGCACTCCCGGATTTGACGAAGCTTGATAAGATCCGGAGACAAATAAAATATAGAACAGAAATCTTCAAATTCGATTTATCTGAAATGGGAGAGTTTGATTTTCGAAGACAAAATAAGCTAATAAATGGGACAAAGGCATTTCGTTGACAGGATATCATACTTCGTACTCCGTTTGGTAGCTTTATAAATCGTTCGACCCCTAAGAAACGGTAGACAGTAAACACTTGATAAAATAAGCTCGATGGGGACGGGACGTGTGTTTACCTTTGGACGTCGTCCAACGACATCGCACAAGCCAATGCGGGAAACCTCTCCAGGAGAATGGCCAAATGGAGATTTGTCGATAGGCGTCCAACTTCCAGATTAACTACGTTTTCACCTTTTCGTTTCACCTTCATTTTCTTGTTCGTTATTCCTCTGGGGAGAGAGGTTTCAGACGACGCGAGACCCAAGAGCGAGCATACATTGTTTATCTTTTATCGCATCGTCGGGTTGGGGATGGTCGGGTAACGTGAACGTTATTAATTGACAAGAAATTCTAAGTTAAAAAAGGTTCTCTGAGGAGATAATGGCACGTCGCTAGGCACACTGCGGATGAAACGGAGTAACCAAACACTCGTTTCTATATTAATGTTTTTGGATCCGTCGATGGAAATTTGGGCTCCGGAGAACCAAATCAACGCCTGAAACGTAGAAATGTGGAGCTAGAAGTCGTCCCGACAGGAAGCAGACCATGTGAATGTCCCTACGATCGATCTACTGGACAACCCCGTTCTTAAAGTACATATTTTAGGTCACAATTGTTATTCCCAAGGTGGGCCGCCCACATACTTGAAGTACCCCGAGATCATGCCAACCGGAAAACAATGTTTGGGGAAGCAATATGAATGGCTTTCGCGAGTTACATTTGGACTATGCTGGCTCCAACCATGCCACTCTAGAACATTGGACACTTTTCTGAGTGCCTGGTACTCCGTATATCCATAATTTATTCTAATCTTATATATCTTGGAGGTTTGTTCTTCATAATCTTGTTTTTCCCGGTCCCGCAGTGGTCCAGACATATATATCTTCCTGTCTCTTGCTAATGAAAGAGGTATTAGCCAGGGCATCTAAATAAATGGCACAAAGGACCTTGGGTAATAGCTTTTGCTTTGTCCTGAGGTTGATTGAGACAAATCTCACCCACTCTTGGCCTAGCTGGACGCTGTGTTTAACCTGTTGGCCAATTGCAGCGCCCGGCTGAAATCTTCGTCCATTTAGAATGGGGCAATTGTAGACGAAAAAATAGGGACATTGTAAAACATTTTTTTTTTTTTATTTTCTGATCTTTCTGTGTGCGGTTCGACAGCAGTCCTATACCGTGGCTTAGGAGATCTCTCATCGCAATTATGCCGTATAGTTGGTCACTGTGGAGTTACGAAGTATTCATTATGTATTTCACTGGCAAGCTGAGACAAAGGTCATAACTACATTTCCTGGTCAGCCATGTCCGGAATCTTCAATTCGCCAACGCGGAGAGCTTCTTACCCCCCTTCCCACCACCCCACTCTCCCCTCAATATTAAACTTATATTGTTCTCAGCTGGCTACTCTCGCTGGTCTGGGCATGTTGTATGCAACTGTGGAGAATTGGAGAGAGAGAGCCTCAAGAGACAAACGGGTATATATTAAACCCATAGTTAATGCGCTGCCCATGCACAGGAATTAAATTCTTCAACATGAACCCTTAAATGCCGCAAAATTGTCGCAGACCAGATCCCCTGCCTGGCGACTCTTAAATCCGATATTTTCTGATTCCTGACATGTGGCTGGAAGGGAATTCTGCTTTAGCCAACTCAAATTTGCGTCGGACACAGCCTTGACCCTTGCTCACACATGGTTGGTGAGTTGTTTGAGGATCTCCCCAGTGCTGCAAAGGTGAGGGTTTGCTTCTGTGAATTTTGGCCTCAACTTTGTTCCGCTATGTAACATTGAAACTGATCCCTCCCACTCTCTCAAGGGATCTGTCAAACGAAGTTTTTTTGAACAAGTTTAGGTTGCTCGAGACAAAGGGTTCTGGTTACACCAGCGGTTCTCACGCCCGTTTCAAACGTCAAACCCTCATCATGTCTCCAATCTCAATCTCTACCGTCTTGAAGTCAACCCTGGGGCCCGTTCTCATGAATGGCAGTTCAAACGTGGTAGCGCAAGTAGTCTCGGCCTACAAACATGGGGTACGTTTTCTTAACTCTAGAACCAGTTGTCGATTTTCCTTTGGAAGGTTCCGGAATTACCGTCATTTAACCTTAGTTGTATACCTCTGTGTGTGTTGTCGCCTATCTCCGTTTGGCTTTCCCTGTCCAGCTCTCATGTTTATTTCCCCCCCCCCCCTCTCCCCGCCCCGCAAAGTTGTGCTTCCCACCCAAAACATTCCTAATGTGATTATTTTCAATCTTAATGCTCTTAAACTTCTTCACTAGTGTGAAAATGGAAACTCCCCAAAGCACTATCCCGATAGCTAACCCAAATGATTGTTCTGTAAAATTGCACACATCGAACAACAGTCTCCGCTCATCATTGACCCTATTCAGTTGATCCGCTTTATGGCGTGCACGATGATCACAAACCCCCTCATGGTCCTCTGGCAGGATCAGCTCGAAGCTACGTTTCCAGGATGTTCCAATTCTAACTCTCCTAGCAATCTGAAATCAGTTGCAGGCAAGGATAAAAGGGTTACAAGCCTGGCAGGCAACTTGGACGAAAATTATCAGCCGGGGAGTAACGCAGAAGAAAAATCCACTCAGAAATTGAATATTCGAAATACCGTTATCAAAATTCTGATAGACCAGACACTTGGGGCGGCATGGAGTTCAGCTGCGTTTATAGTAATCATCTCCGTCTTGCATGGACAAGATACCACTGCAATCAAACAATCCTTAATGAAAGTAGGTTATGCTCTTCCGTGGTTTGTTTTTTTAACAAGTCTGTTACAAATATATAACGCATCAACGACTGTCTCCCGAAACATTTTTTACCTGTCCGGATCTCACGCTAGCCCAGTAGGCAGCAGACTATGGGACAATGTTCGGGATGCTTCAATAGAGGAGCGGAAAGGCTAATGTTAAACGAACAGGATTTCTTCCCCATCATCATGGATGGACTGAAGTTTTGGCCAATGGTCTCGGTGATAAGTTTCACGGTAGTTCCACCAGAGAAGCGAGTTCTGGCGGGGAACTTATTTGGAATGCTCTGGTGCATACATCTTAGTTTGGGAACTAAATAATTCCTGAGATTAGCTCCTTTTTGTTCCGCCGTTGCACATATTTCCCATGAAGCATGAGTGGTTTGCTGCAGGAAATGTTGTATCCAGTTCGGTTCATTTGTGGCACTTTTTTTTTTAACTTTCGACCCCGTTATCGTTGCTTTTCAGGTAAAATGGTTTCATTCGGAACCCCGTGGGGAACGGGACTGAAAAATCAGTTCTTCAGACATTGAACTGACTAGTTGTGTGGCTCATCCCGTTTCCAGTTGTCGGTTTGCGCTGAAATCTCCGGGTGACGGATAATTGTTGTGTTAGATCTTGATCTCCTTAATGCTGCCTATGTAGGCGTATTTCTGTACCACATATTTTCTTTTTTTCTTTTTTTTTTTTTTGAATGTTTAATTATAGCTCTACTGGGATAGTTGGGATCTGGGAGATCAGCTTACCATGCCTGGTATCCCTGGGACAATGCAAATTTCCGTGGGTATGAATATGCATGTTCAAGTATGTTGCCCTTGCATTCAAGCCCTCTTCAATCAGACCCTTACCCAATGGCACATGAGCCACCCTTTTTTACTACACTTTTTGCCCAGGTGAGCATAAGAGGATAGTGTGTTCGATTCTGTCTCTTGTTGTCTTTTCTTCTTTTGCGCTGTTCTCCACGGACTTACTGGCTGAAGTGATTTAAAAATTGCTGGTATTATCCATTTATTCTTTCCATGCGGCACGAGAATCTGCCATATCCTCTTCAAGGCGTTTGCACGGTCCAAACCTGCAGATGCTGAATAATATACGTGGGTGCCTCTGTTCCACAAGCACATTTATCCAGGACACAATCATTCATCACATTGCTCATTTTCCTGCGATTCATGGATTCATACCATCGCATGCATCGAACAGTATCCTCCCCCCCCCCCAATCAGGTACCTACTGTACCATGTATCAAGCTCAGCCCATATGCGTCCCATGATATCTCTCTGACTTGATAAAAGGCGAACTTTCCATCTCTAATGTTACGGGTTCTCAGCCTTGTTGTGTTGCAAGGATGCCTATTAATAAATCCTCGGCCCTGCTGGAAACTAAGCCGAAGCAAGCTAACACGACCGCTCCGCCGATCAATGACCAGGGGATGGGGACTCTCATCTATTTAGTCTTTTCCAAGACGTTAAGGTTTGGCTAATCCTTGTTTAGCTCAATTACTTTAAATTGCCCAGACAAATCAAAGAAAGTTAAGGATTTCCCTAGGGAATACTGATGAATAAACTAGATGTTCACCCCTTGCCATCTTTCCTCTTGCGGTAATTTGTGTATATAGGGCTCAACGGGGATGTGTCGAAGAAGAAATTATTATGTTGAGATTTTTGCGCATATATCGGGTAAAAGGTGGGTTAATTTAATGAAGAAACTCGCACAGAGATTCACTGGAGTCCAAGGATTATCCCCTTCTTAAGCCCAGATGCGGTAACTAGATCATTGATCCAATCCCAAGTGTTTTACTAAACGCGTTGCGCGTCCCAAAAGATAGGTGGGGGTATTAACATTCTGCCATCGAACGTTAACTGCCAACTTATCTCGCCTCTAAAGACAGCAGCTCTATTTTGTCCCCATTGGTTCCAATGAAAGTGGAGGCACCCCTTCGCGCGTTTGACTCAATTCCCACGTGGGCGTCAAGTAGGTGTGGTTTCGTTTTGTGATCCCGCCTCTTCCAGTATCGTATCCAAGCCCCCCCCAGGCAGGTGGAATAGTATACGGAGTAGTGAGGGGTGGAGTTGTTTTATATCCCGATAAAAGTTGTCAGAGTTTCACGTTCGGGCCTTATCTCCCATTTTCGCAAGATGATCATTCCAAGATAAACGGCGATAAATAACTACATGTAAACAGCAAATACCTTTGTTATTGGCCTTGATAAGGGGTAGGTCCCTCATTTGACGGTCACATTTCTCATACCTGATTTCCTATTAGCAATGATCAAACCACCACTGAACACAAAGGCCGACCGGCAGCCAGGGAGACCGAAGCGGGAATTTCATGTACTGAAACAGGTCGGTCATAGATAACTATACGCAAAATAACTTTTCAGGCTGATCCAATACGAAGGGGAGGAACATCCTCCAAGTTACCTTTCCGGAAACCTCAGAATTCCATTGGAATCAAAGACTATGGACAGTTGGGATTGGCCTGGGAAAATAATGAGTCAGCCGATACGTTATTGACTCTGCTTGATGATGGACACGAATCAACGTTGGGCAGAGCCTGAACGCAGGGGCAGCGCTTCTCCACTCTCAATATGCTTCAAGGACCAAAACGAGAAACCAGCAAGAAATATGGACGCTTTGGTAAACATGCTTAAAGCAGTGGATGTTTGATCGTGGATGATGCCTCGACTGGGACTTCTGGGGAGTCCGGGATTCTTGTTTGAAGAAGCCGGCTTGTTGTGTTTGCCCAAACACCAGCATTCTGTAGTCAACTACTCTGTTCAAAAGCTGCGTTTTGAAAGTGGATTGAAATACCGGCCATGAAACAAAATTGTGGCACGACAAACCTGATGTTGTACGCGGATGAGAGGAGGCGTTGAATGATCTGAAAGTTCGAAGTTGCTGGATGCGGGAAAAGGCACGCATTAGCAGAAAAAGAAGTACAAAATCTAAAGTCAGGGTCCCATTCTAAAATAGATTGGAATTATGCCGTTATTATTGACAAGCATCGTGGTGCTTAATTCTTACCTGATGGTAATATTCGTGTTTTGTTTGCGGGTCGTTTGGCTGCGAGAGTCAAGAGTAGAGTATCTCCTCATTGATTATTAGTCACTGAAGCACAATCCAGCCTTAAACATGCGACCAGTGTGAATTAAACGATGTTTTCACCAGATTATTGTCGTCAACTCGGAAACACGGTCTGCCTGATGAAGGGATCTACGATAGTCTGACTTGATATTTTCATCACCAGCATACATAATGTTTAGCTTTGCTGGGTTGCTTATTTCTAACACTCACCCCCGTTAAATCTCAGCATCACGAACGTAACCGCACCCGTGATTGATGACAGTGCTAGGGCATCCGGCTGCTAATTTACACCCCGCCAGGTTCGTCAGAATACTCGGCTAAATTTACGGATGGATAAAACACCATTTTAGTTACCGAGTTGGAGCCAACCTCAACCACGAATTATGTATCTTGTTAGTTCGAACTCACCAGTGATCGAGCGCCGCAAGACTCCGGCACACTCTCATGCCGTCCTTTCGGTTCCTAGGTGTGACCAACGGTAGGCAGCGCCACACTCGGTGATATTGGCTTGCTCTTCAACAAACCAAGGCCCTAACACCACTGGGGTCGGTTTTAAACAAGCCACAAACCCGAGAATGCCAACAGGGACATGGTGTGCGAGTGCACCTGGTTAGCAATCGTGGGAGCTTGCGCAGGCACTCTTGGCGCGGGGCGCCCTTTTGTGCACTCTTCAACAGGCTGGGGTCAGCTGTATGACTCTCTGTTCCCCTCTCTCTCCTGGTTGGGCTTTACGTTGGTCTGATTTTGGCGGAATCCGGGAGCTGGGGCGGGGGGCTGGGAACGATTTGGTGAAATCCCGCTTTCCCATAACCGCTTTCGAAAATCCAGGGAGAGTGAGTGGTAATTATGTATGCAGGATTATTTCTTATTTTGATCATTTAGTTAACCTACCGGGTTAGCTGCTTATCCCGGTCTGAGTGGCCCCGTATTTTAGTAGGTGCTGCGCCTGCTCCCGTCCCCAACCCACTTAGCAGACTCTGAACAATACATATACACAGAGTTCAACCCCCTCCCTACCACTCTTCTCTGGCTCTTCCACTCGTTGACTTCTCAGTCTTGCCTCCTATGGGGGTATTCTCCTTTTGCAGCCGTTGAAGTAATTCTGCATTACATTTGCCGGACATGAGCTGCTTACTACATGCCAACCTCGTATCTGGTTGAGCGAAGGCAAACGGTAATAGTTTGGAATGTGGAAAAGAAGACAAGGGAATTTAGAGGAGGAATAAAGGAAATTAGCCCATATTCCCATTTCATTGTTTACGCATGCCCGGTTGGAATTCATTCTTTGTTTAAGGGAGGAGAATTTCCTCATAAATCCATTGATTCCAGACCAAGGGCATTTGCGATCTTTTGAATGCCATTACAAAATTCTTTCTCCTGATATCCTGAAGCATCGAACTCCCTTTCTCGCCTTGTTGGATCAAGAAGGTACGTTTGCAAAAGGCTCATAATCCCCTGCGATGGCTTACTATGAGTTATTATTTTGCTCAAACAGTTGAACCTCTTTGTTCATTGCAATTTTTGGTCCCACTATTTCGCCTTTTCCACAGTCACAAAGTATGCTTTGTTTATTTGTGTAAAGTGAAATGTTAAAACTTGAGAACTCTATTTGAACAGAGCGTGGAATTGCACGGTTTTTAAACGATAACCATGTCATTTAACCTTCGCCCAGCCGGTGATTTCGGGTCTCTTCCTGAGATAAAGACCAAGGAAAGGAAATCTCGTTCTATATTGCCTACGCTGCAAATGAGATGGCCCATGCGTGCATCTCGTTCGATAGAGAGCTTTCCTACATCGGCGAAACCGAAAGACGTCATTTCGAAGCGCAAGACTAAATCAACCAGCCTTCTGAAACCCAAGTCCATTGACATGTTAGTCATGGATACGCGAGTCAATTCTCAACGGGTTAACAGACCAGAGGCTGGTGGGCTGCAACAGCCCACTCATTCGCTTGTATATACCTCGTTGGAGTGGACTCAGAAACAGCATTCTCCTGAATTCCCAGATGCGCATGCTTTGGAGTGTGTATGGCTCCCTGATGAGATATCAACACGAATGCCTGTCCCTGACATAAAGACAAAGCCATTGAACTCTATGTCTGGTAGGCCAAACTCCGTAAATATCCCTCAAGCACAGAATTCGTCATCGATACTGGCACATCAAAGGCACACTTCAGATCCCAGTCGAACCCACTACCCTGCTGTTAACCAGCCACCCAACCATCCTGGACGGGATCGGTCAGCCTCGAAGGTCTCCGATATTGACACCCAACATGGCTTTCATGGACCATTTACCAGTGGGACCGTATCACCAATTATCAGCTCCTCTCAGCGGCAGATTACCCCAGCCTTCTCTGAAGATATGAGTTTTGCCGCCGGTTTTCCCATTGTTTCAACTTTGTCAATAGACATGCCCCAGCCTCAGCGTTTTTTTGTGCCTCCCTCCTTTGAAAATATCCTTAAGAACAAAGCGGCCCTGTCCGTGGCCCGAACTCGGAAAACTGATAATTCATCCACCTCTTCTGATTTCGATGGAAGTGCCTCACCTCCCAATAGTCCGTCTTCCTCTAGATCAAGCGTATGCTCAATTGATGTCCCTCACAAATCCGACGCAGTAGACACATCAGAGGCTTCTAGAGGCAGCAGGGCTTATTCGCTAATATCTCCCGTTGCTGCTGGAGTGTTTGACGACGAACCAAATCTGAAGCGCAATCCAACGTTCAAGAAAAAGTTTAGCAACAGGCATTCGAGAGATAAGCCACTCCCTCCTGACCCAACGATAAACATCCCGCCACTTTCGATCCGCCGCACCTCACGAGCGTCCATGGGGCTCTCTCCTCACGCTGGTCGGTTAATCCAACCGACTAGCAAACCGCAGTCCCTGCCTTTAGCTCCACGGCCATCCGATCTCGATATTTTAGACGAAGCATTCCGCCGTTCAGGCCTTCATCATGGGCCACATACTCCACGCAACGTATTCACAAAATCGATTTCTAGCCGAGCTTCGAAGTCCAGTACGAAATCCAGTTCCCCATCCCTGCGCACGGCTACACTTGACTTGGAGGAACAGCTTTCTGTTTTAACTGGGTCTAAATATGAGAGCTCTATCTGGTTGAAATTGGGACGGAAACGCACCTCAATTTCTGGGAATCCCATAGCTAGCTCATCAAGAGCACTGAAACAGCACCCGTCCTGGAAAAGGTCGCCTTCGCATTCCATTTTGTCTCCTCATGCCTCTTCGCTGGACACGAAGATACACGCTTCATTCACATTGTCGTCGAAGAAGAGTTGGACAGGTAAAGAGAAGATTAAGGTGGTGCCGTTTGGCACTGCGGTGATTGAAAAGAGTCATAAGTCGCAATTGCGGGCTCCGCAACCGCCTCCATCGAACCCACAGAATATCGCAAATGGCAATAGTGGCAATATCGAAGATGATACCAGCAACAACAGCAAAGATGATGCGAAGTCCATTGAAAGAATGAGTCGTCCCAAGGCGCGGACAGGTAGTGTCGAGCGCAGTCTCAGGCTTCGTCTACCCCGTCTGCGTACACAGTTGGGTGCCAAGCCGATTTCTGGGCCTGTGAATCTCAGCATTGTGATGGAGTCGCCGACTGACCAAAAACACCACCACACCAACAACCAAAGTCCAAGGGAACGAATCATGGCAGCGCTCGACAGGATTGATCCGCGGCTGTCGCAACCAGAGCCTTCGCGCCATCGATGTTCTAGTAATGGCGATAACGTAGTGATAAACCCTTCGTCTACTCTCGCCCTGCACGACAGATATAGAGCCAGCCAACATGCGGGGTCCAAGGACATTCTCTGCCAAGAAATTCCCAGTGAGGCAGCAAAATCCATAATATACCAGATCATGCAAAAAATCGACAACCTCGAGGACTTGTTCAACCTTTCGGTTATTAACAAGACCTTCTACAGAGTCTTCAGAGAACATTCATTGACTCTTATCAAAGATACTTTGTTCCGCATGTCTCCGGCGGCATGGGAGTTGCGTGAGATATGCCCTCCCTGGGAGATAGAGGGCGACGAAACAGGAGATATGGACATGCCTGTTCCTGAGTACACACCCAACTTGTACATTTATTATTATACGCGAGATCTATACACTATGGTCGCTTTGAAATCTCTCGTCCTTGTCCGCTGCGAGAATTTCCTTCGACCCGATACAACTAGAGCGCTGGCAGGATTAGATGAAGTTCGTTGCGTTGAGATCGATGAAGCGTTCTGGAGAGTGTGGACGTTCTGCAAACTATTTGGCTGTGGAAAGAGTAGGGAAGATGATATCGTTGCCCAAGTTGACTGGCTCAATGGCGGTCCATTAGCTGCTGCGGAAAGCTGCGGCACCACTATGGTCGTCCAATATCCTCTGGGAGTACACAGTGTTTTGTTCAATGCTCCTCCTGGCTTTAGCAAAGGAAATCATGGAGGATTGTCATCAACAGAGCTCTACGATATGATGGAGATCTGGACATGTCTTGGTGTTCTCTTGCAAGTGTTCCATGGTAAATGTAAGGAAGCTCGCGATTTTGGAATCTTTGATGGCTTGGATGTGGAGTCTGGTGATGTTGATAGAGAGGAGTCTCTGCTAGGTAAGCAACGACAATTTTCATGTGTTTTGAAGTTAGCTTTTTGATGCAGTCTTGCAGTCTTGCTCACATAAAACAACAGAAAGCTGGACTCAGTATATTCTCACACTTGGGCCTTCCGCTATCCTTGCTCTCACTAGCATCAACCCAGATGCCCCTATTGAAACACTATTTGCAAGAGCACAATCTAATGGGTGGACAAAATGGACAGCCCCAGACACAACCCAGGGTGGCCCTCCAAGGTCGTTCTTCAAGGAAGCCATTTCCCAAGTTTATGAGTCAAGAATAGCAACCATACAAACCCCCATCTCGTTTGGAACGCCCAAATCCAACTCACCAGCGCCATATTCCCCTAACCCCAAGTTAAGACATGGACGCCACACTCGCAATGTCTCATCATCTTCCTCATCTTCAATGTCATCACAACACACCAACCTCAATCGTCGACGACAAGCTGGCTTCGCTGCTGAGCTGCGCCGGAAGCGCAACGCATCGCAAAGTTCTGATTTGTCAATTGGTGAAAATGTTGTACCTCCAGCGACAAATTTCAAGGAAGAGAGGCCAATCTCCAACTTCTCAGCCGTTATTGAGAGACTGGACGGTCGTAATGATCCCGCCGATAGAAGAAACGCTCGCCAAGTTCCCATCATTCAAACACTCTTCCCTCTTTCAGTCGATACAGTATTAAGATCGGCGCCAGGGAGCTTGTTCTAGTATTCAAAACACACCCATTGTTTCTGATTCCCCTCTTATCAAGGGGATATCGCAACCTCCCGTCCCTCCCTCGGCTCCTCCTCGGCCAAGCCTAACCCTTGAATCTCCCACACCAGAACCAGGTCATGCCACCCCAATCATCGTCATCGATTTCGCATGTCCACCCTCACCAACAACCCAAACACCCCCCAAAATCGCAGCAAGTCTGCAACAACTACGAGTCCGTTCAGGAGAATATATCCCGCGGCCGCTATGCCGCGCACACGCCTCTAATCGTCGACCCTGCTGACGTGGCCATGTACAAGATGGTCAAGGAGCTGGGCTTCAGTGAAGCGGATGCCAAATGGGCGCTGAAGTGCACAGACACGGGCGAGTCACTGGACGTTATTGCTGCCGTTAACTTGCTGTTGCAGAGCGGTGGTCGTGTTGATCCCTCTGCAGTGTCGTCGACCACAGTGCCAGATGCGGCCCATATTGATAGCAGATCTACCATGAGCGGCGGCTTCGGAGGCGCTACTGCGAGTGGACCGTGTGGGCGGAATAACATGGAGGTTGGACTGGAAACTTATAACACTGGTGGTGTGTGGCGGCCAGTGTGGAGGTGGGCGTGAGTTGGTGGAAAGCAGGGTTTGAGATTTCAACGCCTCTATCACTTTGCTATTTCCTTATGTTCCAAGGCATATTATCATCGAATACTTGCTCGCTCTTTCCTTCATTAAAGCCATCCTTCTTTTTGTTCATATGATTCTTTGCTCGGCTGAAGCTGGGTTGCTTGTAACTGTTTTTTTGAATGATGGGATTTGCAACCCTCCATTTTCTCTCGTTGCTCCTAATAATCAGCGGACCGCCTTTTCTTATATATCATATTTCTTCCACATGCACCATCTCCTCCCCTATGCATAGCCGCTTATTCAATTTTATATATACCCCATATACCAATTGTTACTTTTCCTTATGATATAATTGTGTTTCTTTTTGAAATTTGTGTCCTACCTAACTTTAATTTATTGAACATCATATATCTACCATCTATTTACGGAGTATATCTTTAAATCAAAACTGCTCATCTGTGTATATTTATTCTGTGTGCGTGTACATGTAGATACAGAAGTTACTAATTGATTTATTTCACATGATTCCTTTCCAACTTCGCAGTAGTCAGTAGTTACTAGCTTTTTCACTAATCTTCACTTTTCACAGAAAATTTGAATATAGATGAATTACTAACTATATTATGGAAGAATTTTGTTTTTCATAAATTACTTTAAACAACCCTATTGTTGTTATTGTGATTTTTGAAGATTGGCGTTGTTGACCAGTATTAGTTTTGAGAAACAGAAACATCAAGAGAACAATTTCACATTTTCAAAAAGACATACGAAGAATCAATCAAACAAAATTTTCTCCCTATGTTTTGTTGGTGTTTAGAAGGGTTTCTTGAAGTATTCTCCAATCACCCACAATACCTAGTGCCCCCTGATTAAAATGCAACCTGATTAGTCAATCCTACCATATCTCTCTGATAATTCCGATGTTGTGAAACTTGGTACAGGAACTTTCCCAGGAAATCCTTCGCCTCAGGGAATAACTTGAACCGTTCTGTCAAACTGTGGGGTTCGTGCAGCTTGCTTGATGTGACAACGCCGTAACATTCGACAACATCGCTAGATGAGGCCAACGCAACGTTCAGACCAGGCAGGCTGTTCAGAACCTGGGCGATAAGATTCACAGCTTCCCCTGTAGCACCTATGGCCTTGCAATGTCCGAACTGTTCTGCAATCCAATGTCTAAAAGCGCCTAGCCGGCTCAGCTCCTTGATATGCGAGCCACCTGGTATGAACGTGGCGTCAAAGAGAGTAGACCGCTGGCCGATATAGTTGTGATCTGGAATTACGCCTGCACCGGTCTCCCTATCTTCGTGGTCAGCAAAGATGGCTTGGCGTTTTGTACCAATTATGATGGGCAGAGCGTTCATGGCTGTTGCCGCAGCTTTGACAGAGGCGAAGGCGATTGGGTCGTAGCCATCACCAATCAGGATAGCTATTTTTCGCCCCTTGATGGTGGGTACAGAAAGCTGGCGCTCGTTTATGTATTCTTGGCTGAGGTTAATGGTTTTTTGACCTTTGTTGGGACGTCCAGCCTGTTGTGGTGTTGGAGCGCCGACTTTGATTGCGACAGCTTGTGCGAGCGGTAAGGAGATTTCAGTAAGTCGCTCGACGAGTCTGTTGTAGACGGCCGGGTCATCGCAGTGGTCTAGCTCAAAACAGAAGGCGTTCTGAATATGGAGCTGTTCGTAGGCAGAAAGGGAGTTGTAAAATAATTGTGCTTGGTTAATGTGTTCGCGGAACTTGTTGCTCACCATTCTAGCTTTAATGTTCTGTGTTATCTTCTGAGGGTATGTGACGAAGCCGCCGTCCTCGGGCTTCGTGGGTGGGCAGGCTTCAAAGCGGTTTGGCCAATAGTTTACGGTTCCCTGAGTTATTTTGTGGCGCATGGCGCCATCTCTGTTGTGGTTCATGACAGGACACACAGGACGATTGATAGGCAGTTCCTCCCAGTTGACACCAAGTCTGGAGATTTGGGTATCGAAATATGAGAAGTTACGGCCCTGCAGTAGAGGGTCATCAGAGAATTCAATTCCAGGGACGATATGGGAGGTGCAGAAGGCAACTTGTTCGGTCTGTGGAAAGAACTCGTCCACGTTCCTGTTGAGCTCCATCTCTCCAATATATCGAACGGGGACCAAGTCTTCAGGCCATATCTTAGTTGCATCAAGGATGTCAAACTCAAATTCATGTTCCTTCTCCTCAGGAATCACCTGGATCCCAAATTTCCATTTCGGGTAGACTTTGTTGTCAATTGCCTCCATGAGATCTTTGCGGTGGTAATCCGGATCTTGACCTCCGAGTTTGAAAGACTCATCGGGTACGAGTGAATGGACTCCAAGTTCTGGCATCCAATGGAATTTTACGAAATGTCGTTTTCCTTGACGATTCACAAGAACAAATGTGTTGACGCCAAATCCCTGCATCATACGGTAAGATCGCGGGATTGCTCTGTCCGACATGGCCCACATAAACATATGGGTCGCTTCAGGATGCAAGTAAACGAAGTCCCAAAAGTTGTTGTGGGCAGTTTGCCCTTGAGGGACTTCGTTGTGCGGTTCCGGCTTGACAGCGTGAACTGATGATAAATAAACACCGACTCAATGAAGAAAAAGGTATCAATTGCTTACTTATGTCAGGAAATTTTATGGCATCTTGGATAAAAAAGACAGGAATATTATTGCCAACAAGATCCCAGTTGCCTTCTTGCGTATAAAACTTGGTGGCGAAACCACGCACATCACGGACTGTATCGAAACTGCCTTTGCTACCTTGGACGGTAGAAAAGCGGACAAAAACAGGAGTTGTCCGTGAAGTATCAGTTAACACGCCGGCAGAAGTTACGTCTTCTGCGCTCTCAACAAGCTTGAAGTGACCGAAGGCACCTGTTCCTCGAGCATGCACAACACGCTCTGGGATTCTTTCATGATCAAACCGATGGATCTAGTGCTTCGGTTAGCATTGAGCGGGCAGAAAACCTGAAGAGGAGAAGAAGGCAGGACAAGACCTTTTCGCGAGCAATCTGATCCTCCAACAACGACGGGCCAGTTTGGTTTTCGGATGCAGCCCTCAACCAATTGTCAGTATTGCTGACTTTGGTCCCGTGGTCGGTGGTGAAAGGAGCAGGCGCGTGGACATCGACGGTATCACGGGCGAGGTCTGCGACCTTTTTGTTCCCAGGATGCATGCTTTCCATAATCTCCTGGATCTTCCGTAATCCTTCTGTAGCCTTGCTAGCCATGGTGCGCGACGTGGGAAAACGTTGTCGTACTTTTAAGAAGTTTTATTAGTAATTTTTCCTTCCTCCCTGCGTTTTGTTAGAGGTTATAAATTCATTCGAAAAATTATTCGGATCGACCCCAGAAGGAGGCAAAAAGCTATATTAAATAGGCAAAAGAGGAAGGGTAAGGAGGGCACGACGTCATGTATCTCAAATGTTTGGGGTGGGTGAACTCAATTGTTCGATTACAGAAACGTAAGAATGACGTCGGCTTGTAAGAGCGTGAACGGTCTCAATGAGGACCCAGCTTGGAAACAAAGTAAGTTTTCAGCAACCCAGGATAATGGATCGTTTGAATCCAATCCATAATTGCGATTTGATATCATTATTATTGTTGTTGTTTTAAGTATCCTTCGGCAGTACGCGGTCTAGCCCTCTTATGTTCAACCGGCATGATCTTTATCTAGGTTTCACACTTCAAACTTAAAAGAGTCCACCTGCTCTTTGCATCATGTCAAAGCTGAGAGGATGTCAACATTTAACGGTTAAAACACTCCCGCAAGCAAGAGTTATGCTAGCATTTTCATCGGGGAAAAAGTACATGAACATGTACGTATGCCAAGGCCTAGTATAGCTCTGCCTTGTTTTACCTCCAAGTTCCTCCCTAGTTTGAAGAATGCTTTGAATTAACAATCCGCTGGCGGACGAACACATTTTCTGAATCGGTAGTCATTCTAGCTCTTCCAGCTAAAACGCAATCCCTGAATAAAAGGAAATCTTGTATCGACCTGTAGTTGCCAGCTGACGTTGAGAATGATCTGTTGCCTGTCTGGTGCCAGGTGTGTATCGAATGGAAATAGGAGCCCATGGCTTAACCAGATGTATGTCTCGAAAATATATAGAACTGAGATGCTGAAAAAGCACAGCGAGTATCTTAAGCCAAACGGAGGGGTTGTAAGAGTCGCAGACTAAGGCTTTCTGAGGCGACATCAGAACAATTATCGATATATCAACTTTGTTTCCTGCGAACCGCTGGAGACGCAGCCCTGTCAATAACAAAAGATTTGTCTCGCATCGTACCCAATGGAGGCGAGATTGTGCTACCACTCCCATAGTAATTGCCAGGAAGCCCCATATATGTTGGCTTCTTTGGGGGACTGGATCGCTGCCAGCCCGCTCGGAGCAAGGTCAAAGGTCAAGAATACAACAAAAAGGAGGCTTAACTTGGTTGACGTCGGGGGGAAGCCATTCCTATTGCAGCCTAGCGCAGGATCCATTGGATCCAAGGTATGGCATCCCAACACGTGATACACTCATCCAACTTACCAAGTTCTTGAAGACTTAACTTTCTTGAGATGGTCTTGAACATTTTGATCTTCCTGCTTTTGGTATGAAAGTTTACCGTCTGTTTTTCCTACGTCAACATTATTTGCAGCTTTTATTGATGCATACAGAATCTCATCTTTCATTTTCTATTCTAGCCTTTTGACGCAGTGTTTCTGCCTCGCGAAGCCCTTCAGATGGTGGGACTTGTACAAGGTAACCCATTGGTGGACCATAAGTATGCTTGTCTTCCACGTTGAAAACATTCGCAGAGGGGTTCGAAATTTCTATGGTCTCAGATCTTCGGTGATGGGTGATAAGAGCTCTTAAAATAGCGTCTGAACTGAAGATATATTCTCATGTGCAGCGGTTGTCCGGTTCATCGGTGGAGGGCCGCGAAGTTAAGCTCAATGCGTTAACTCATTTTGAAGCCTGGTGGCCATCTGGGAGGATACGTTCTGTTGCCCCAAAAAGGCTAATGGACTACTGGATCAAAATTTCGCGGATCAAAGTTTCTCAGAGCAAAAAAACCGATCCATGAGTGCTTTATGGCCCTAGGCCAGCTATTTTTTTCCACTGGACCCTGTTCTAGAAAGCTTGCCTCCAATCGCATTGGCATTATCAGCCCGTCAGCAATATGCAGAGTTCAGGCCCCTTTGCCCTAACCAACGTGAGTGGGATCAGTGATCACCGGGATAAGATCGACGGCCTAAACGCTTTTTAATCGGGAACCATCTGGGCAGCGTCCAACTATAGATGACACCAGAGCAGTAAGCCCAAGCTGGCATGATCGGGACTGGTCATTTTCTCCGCACACATCACCAGAGGTAACTATGCGGTTACGCGTCTTCCGAATTCCATCTTTATTGCTTCGTAAATTACATTAACTGTTCACTAGCGTACAATACATTCGCACAAACTGCATAACCAACTAGAGCAGTTCAATTTGGTCTTGATAAAAAACGCTTGTGCATCATGAATTATGTTCTTCGTGCATAGTTACAATAATCTTATCTTTTTGCTGGTTCTTAGGAAAACACAAAACTGGAGATATTGATCACGCCGAATACGATGATGACGAATTCATGTGCAAACAGCCAACAGTTGACCACTGAAGAATCCTGGTCGGGATAGAATCAAACACAAGTTTCATGGGGCTTTACCAACCCACCATCCGATATACTTGGACTTGATTCATAAATGGAGTTTACTGACAGTTACCCGGACCCATAATGTTTTTTCACACCTCGTTTGTATGGAGGCACAATCGTGAGGTTGGGGACTCCTCGAGACAGGAGCGCCGCAAAGCCGGCTTCAGGAGTCGGCCTCTCGAAGGATTCATGACCAGCTCTGGACCCAAGTTTATTTATTCCCTTCGCCGCATTAAATGATGATGCATGTATCGCACTCAATAATGGCGGAATCCAATACGTTAAGGTAAATGGCGGATTTTGTTTTTAAATTTCGGCTTCCCGCAAAATCCGAAAAGACGAGTGTTATCCGATCATTCGCTTTTTTTATTCTGCCATTGCACATGTAAAATCTATAACCATATCCTAGGTGCCGATGTCGTGCGTTGCTCTTAACTTTTAGAGTTCATTCAAATTCCGTCGTTGGTTCAAGTTGTTGTCAAAATTGCAGTTACATCTCAACATCTGATAACAACCTCACTACACTCTGGATTCTCCTTAACCAACTCCCCTTCCAGCTTCCAAGGCAGGTCTAGCTCTCAGATAGCTACCGGTTGTGGCAGAGATAGTCCCTTTTTCTCTTAACGGATCCGGATGGAAATCGTTGTCTACTACGAGAGGGCGAGCCTACCTCGATCATTTCGGGATGGCAGAGCGAAGAACACTGGTTGTCGATAGTAGTCGTCACCATCACGCGCGGTTGATTGAAGTTCGATTCGAACACCTTTTCAATGCTTCAAACCGCGAGGAGGCCGCGCAGCAAGTTGCAATGATAACCTTAATGACTCGACTTCAGGATACTCATGCAGATTCGAACTGATTTCGGAGAAACCAACCTCGTCCACGAACATTCAAACGCAGGTCTTCAATAGAGCCACTAAAACACGCGCGATTAAAACCTGTTTCAAGAGTGCCTTAATCCATCAGGTTGAGCTTCCCGGATAGGGTTCGGGAACTGGCATTCCCGAGTTCAAAGTAGTATGGTTTCCTCGTTCAGGTCACTTCGTCCAAAATGACTTAGCTTCCCTTGTCCTCCAGGAATAAAGCTGGGATAGCCTAAGCTTGCCCTGCATGGGTGGCACTGTAGCCAGCATTTACCCAAGCAGCCAAATTCAACTAGATATAAAATAATGAGCCAACCCATTTCCGCTCTCCGGGAAAAGAATAAGCTTAACGGCTGGGAGCATGCTATGTGGGAACCCTATCATCTGGCATCTGGCAGACCAGTTACCCCACCAGAAGGTCTTGCCCATGTGATGATGAAACCATTTACCAGGACTCTAGGAAGGGGGTCGGGGTTTTGGTTTTGGTGGGTGATTGCCCCCGCCGACAATTTTCATTACCACTGGCCAGTCGCCACTTTCACACGTCCACACACCCACACATCCACATTAACAATAATAAGATGACTGAGCGACACGCATCGATGACAGGCAGTTCAAACTCGAGAATGCCTGTGAGTTTCAGTTTCGTACATGGTTGGACCCCACAAGGGTACCCATCTGACTCGCCTGTAGCGGCAGGTTCCGGGGTCAAGGATCTAATCAACCCCTGAAATGAAGATAACCGTTACACCAACCACATGCAGAAGACGCTAGAACCCTTCTTTTCTCAACCAGTATGAACGGACCAGAAATTGGATGACGATCATCATGACCTCTCCACCTCAACTCGTGCCTGGAATAGAACAAACACCCCCAAGCTGGGTAGCGAAATATTTCCATCATACCTGCTCTCTAGTTATCGGAGTTCACCGCCAACGTGTTTTCCCTTCCTCAATTGATCGGACACCGTCGTCACTGACGCACTTCGATGGAGGCCCCGGGCACCCCGAAAAACTTTATCCGGTTCTTTTCACCTCTCGAACTTATTAGTGTTGATGGACGCGGAAACATTTTTCTCCATAAATCTCCGAGATTTATAACCCTTCAAACACCTTTTTTTTTTAATTTTTTTAATTTTTTTTTAATTTTTTTTAATTTTTTTTTTTTTAGGTATGTAACCGTGGGATTACTACTAATGTTTTTTTTGGGGTCTTCTTTGATTTTGAGTTTATGTAACAAGGGTTGTTCCCTTGTCCCTGACACATCCATCCTGATCATGCTGACTTTGGAGTGATAACTTCTCGCGAGTCCATAGATTAACTTGAAATTAACATAATCTCTTCACTTCTTGAATCTGTGCCGCTGCTGGATCCGCAGGGCCTGATAAAATGCAGGATACAATTGTTCTGACGACTCCACTCTTCCCACCCAGCAAGCATAAATTTCAAACCACGAGTAGTACATCTTCAGACCGTTTCGTCATTTATGGTCTCCATGCCTTAATTTTCAAAGGCAAGCAGCATATTCAGCCACATTGAGAGATTCGTGGCATTACTATCATTATTGATGGCTTGAACAAATCCCAAGTGAAAAATACTACCGAGAGACATCGCTCCATAGATAGCGCTACCTGGTAACTACAAGCTAGAAGAATAAGAATAAGCTTCAATCAAGGAAAATCTATGTGATCGGGATCAATTCTAGTTTTTTGGTCTATGGACGGTGTCTTGCACGTTGGGGACGATCAATGTGCATTCGATCGACGTAGCATGCCTTCATCTTCATTTTGGAACTTGGAGATATGGAACTGACAAAAAGAAAAGCTTCGCAGGAGTCTGTCTATAGCCTGAGCTGCAAGACTAGTTAGTCACGGATCACGACTAATCAGCGCCTCGCTTCAAAAGTCTAATTCTCAAATTCATCATGAACCTCCACGATCCGCTGTGTCAATTTAGGCCTTCACAGTATTAGCGTCTGGTCCAGCAGTTCTCTTCCAATCCTGGGCTTCGAGAAAGAAGCAACTTCCGTTAACCTTCCCCTGGAGCACCAATAAACAAATGAACCGATAGTCCAACATGCCTTACCCTCAGAATGAGACGGGTGTCTGGGGCACTGAATACTAATAATACAGGCAAATTACACGATTGACTTCACCTGAAGGAGACGCGCTAGAACAACGCTTTGTCGTTCTCGTTGACTCGGAGTCTCGAATTGGGAAAGATGTGCCATGGGCGACGTGATCTCGCGAGATTCACCTCATGGCTCCTTGAGAGATTTCCCACGCGGCTGTTAACTGAGCTAAAAAAAAAAGGCAGAAAAGAGGGGAATACAGTCACCCTGAACACTATCGTCATTATTTAAAGACCATGGGGCTAAAATGGGTTGCTGGACTGGGAACTTCGTGCTGTGATTCCTTAATTAGCGCGCAAAAATGGGAAACCGTTAGCGCAGGAGCAGTCATCAGAAGTTTATTCAGATGATGGGCTGAAATATCCTTGAAATAGCAAAAACTTTCCTGGGGTTTCAACCACAATAATTAACGTTGTACGGAACTGAGTACATACGTACATCCGGAGTAGTCGGTGTCACTGGTCGCCAGCCGGGCCTGGAGTTCCAATTTAAGAAACCCTCACAGGGATCTTTACGGCCGTGACTTTCATGGCTGAAAAACGATGCAGGAAATGCACATCTATCTGGACACAACTCATATTTCCTTTTCCCATTTCAAAATTCCCGTACTTTCTATCTGATATGAGAAATGATATATTACTCGAGGCGACCTTTCTCCCGGCCAGTTTCAAGTTTTTAGTTCCGAAAAAGTTCGGCGAACAGTGTGAAATCTTCCCGCTGGCACACTCCCTTCTGCCATCTCTCGAAATAGCACTAGGAGAGTTTAATTCTCCATGGAGCTTTAAATTATGCCAAGCATTTACTGAAGCCCGCTAATAATTTCTTGGGCGATATTTTTAGTGATGCTACCAACGGACCAACTACTACTTAATACTAGAGGCAAGATCACTAAACATAACCCTGATTGTTTGGTAGCAGCTCGAAATCGCGATATTTAAGATGGAGGAGGGGAAAAGATTTTATGCTTATTTACCTTCAAAGGTCTTACATCTGCATGGGAATTTCAACTGTCTTGTCGGGGGAAATCTCGTCAACAGAAACGTCAGGATGCAGATATCCCAGTCTTCTGGTTATCCTGCACGAAAGGGTTCTCGGAGAAGGCTGGTCCGCTCGTGTTCAGAATGCAGCCGAAGGAAGCAAAAAGTATGTATAAACCCCACTCCTTCAACGTCGGTGCCCAATGGCACTCACCAATTTACAGTGTAATAGGCAATGGCCGTGTAACAACTGTGCCGGCTCAAGAGCCCATCTTTGTCGCTACGACCATACAGTCAAGAGGGTTACGTCAACAGCACATAGGAGCACGGGAGAGCTATCACCTCCAAGTTTGTTGAAGAATTTTTTTTTGTTTCCTCTGATTCGCGAAATAGGTCATACGATTCTAATAGCAATGGCAGTTGAGTTTAGTGAGCAAACCGACTCGGAGATTCTAGAAAGCTTGGGTTATGTGGCGGGAAATGCTAGTCCTCTTGCCAGAGAGGTTTTGGGAGTATCGTACGTTATCTGATTTGCATTTCTATCATGGTGGTTGTTAACTTGCTAATAAGAGGTTTTTTTTTTTTTTGGTGAAATTCAAGGCCTTCTGATAACCCCTTCTTTCCTTCGTCTGGCGTAGGAAAAATACCAAATGATCCACGACGGAGTCAAGTTTCTGTACTTGAATTATTTCCAGATAGGCATGTTGTCGATTTCCTTATCCAATACTTTTTACAGGAAGTAAATTGGATATATGAAATGATATATCCGCCGACCTTTATGGAGCGATATACTTCATGGTGGTTACAGCCAGCCTATCAGGAGAGTGACGACATACAATTTGGTATTTTAATACTCCGGCTCTGTGCGTGTAGCGTACAACTGCTCCCACACCCGAATTATCCCCACGAAGGAACGTTCCAATGCTCGTTGAAGGAGTTGGAAACTCGGTGCAAAAGTTCAGCGAATATTCTTGACACCTTTCGTCCAAGACATATGTCCTTGACGAGGATCCAGCATATGTTCTACCACGCGGCATTCCTCACCAACGAGTCAAATCTGAGAGAAAACTGGATCATCCTCAGCGATATTGTGAAAGAAGCGCACATGTTAGAATTGCATTTGGAAAACCCAAGGGTCAAGGTTACGGAGTTTGAAATGGAAATGAGGAAGCGAATCTTTGGTACGATACATATGTGGGATAAGTATGACCTCCTTTCCCAATGACTGTATTTAAACTCTAAGTTCTCCCTGGCTAGAACTAAAAGATTCCACTTTCCTTAGGTTGATGTCAGGACTGCAAGGGCATTGGCCACTTATTCCAGAATCATATTGCGACATTGGACTTCCTCGAGATGCGCTTCCCGCGTCACCTTCAGTGCCTGGAGCTCCTACTCCATTTACCGATAGAATTATCCATATGAGGCTTGCCAAAGCTCTGAGTTTCAAAAATAAATCTGAAGAACTGAAGTCCAGATCACCGAATCTTGCTTCGATACCAGCCATCGCTGAAATGATTGAGACCGAAATTATATCCTCACTACCTTCCGTATACAGCCTTTCAGATTATGATGAACAGTTTAATACCATCCTACCCAGCATTCCTTTGAAGCGTGAGCAGTTGCGTGTAACAATTACTGGTTCGCTCGCCATGGCTCACCGGACCTTTACGGGAATGCTGCACGATCCAAACTTTACCGACTTATCGTCTACCAAAGAGCAGAAGGCGGCCTTTAAGCTTCAAAAGAAGCTGATTGAGTACTCTATAGATACCTTGCGATCAGTGATACGACTAGCAGACATGCTTCCTGGTGGTTGTAAAAAGTTGTTTCTGATTAGTCTCGTGCCACTAGAGACGTCTGTTGTCCTTGGTCTCTGCCTCAGGGGCATCCGCAGAAATAGGCGAGCATACGTAAGCCTCTCTCGCCAGGGACTTGCAGCATTCACGGAAAATTCGGAACTTGAAAATTCCGTAAATACCGCGTTCCTTGAAGGCCTGACGTTTTTGGGTGATCTGGCACAATATTCACCGATAGCCGCGAAGGGGTTACAGATAGTGAAATCATTGCATCAAAAGCTGCAGAAGGACGCCACTATTGACGTCGCTGAACACGGATTGTATTCTCAAGCTTCCACCCGACTCCAGCAAGAGCAGCAACAGCAGAGTACGCAACAAGCAGCAACTTGGGGCCAGGTGTCTGATTCCGAGATAATGACAGGTTCGGCCATTGCGAGCGAACAAGTTGGGAATATGTTGGCTGGGGCTCCCATTAGCACAAGCTCCGAAATGGGAATGGAGCTATATGGATGGTCGCAGATAACAACGCCGCCACATCCACAACCAGATTTGCACCAATATGCTCAGGAAACGTCAGCGCCAAACTTGTGGTACTACGATGATACGCTTGTTGAGCGTTATGCAACAAGCGCTCTGTGATAGCTTGGTTTAACATGAGGGGATTTTTTCTTAATGTATTTTCTCCCTTTCATGTTTATATATTTTTTTTTTTTCCTCTCGCATCTCCCTTCTCTAATTTTCTTGTTTTGGAATAGAATTGAGGGTTTTATTGGGCGCTATGCTTGGTTGATAAAAAAGTCTTTCCTTGACAGCTTGGGAGGTCTGACAAGGTATTGTAAATCTTTTCATTTCGGTTACAAGGTATACGGGAGCTGAAGACATATGGACAGGCAGGCGTTGTAACGAAACCTGAATGGATGGTTAGAATTAAATAGCACGGGATACCCTTTTACATGTCAATTTCTGTTCCTCTCTGTCTGTTTGACTGTCAAGTCTATATACATACAATACAGTACGGGCATCTTCGCTGTCCGCTGTGGATCCACCTGCGGGTGGGACTTGACCTGTTCATCTCGAAAAGCGACATCAAATTCATGAGTCTGACGTGAAAGCCGGGTATTTAAATCAAGGCGATGGAAGTGGCTGAGTGCCTCCAGGCAGGTGTTCCTAGGCATATACTCCTCAGTGACTTGAGTCTTTCGAGTTGCAGCACAGTCTTGTGATGTTCTCGGCTGTGGTGAATAACTACAGAGTTCAATTTTTGCGCCGTCTACAACAACGGCAAACCATACTACCTGATAACAAAACCACTACGACTCTATACGTTAATCTTCTGCATGAGAAGAGGGGATATGGTTTTGATTTATTCTCAAACATGATTATTGCGGTACTTTCCAGGCTGATAATACTGGTTATTATATGGCTGTTCTTGGATTCAGCATGATTGATGTCTATGCTTTTTGAGGCACTCTGTGTTCAGTCATTTCATCAATTCCGATTAATTTCTATAATGAGAGCTATGGGATTCTTTCTCATTATGAAAAGATGCTTTATCTGAACTTTCCCCACATTAAGCCTTCTTTAAGAAGATGATCTACAAATTACATTCTGATCACAGCATCATCCGAAACATATTGCAATCGAAGCATAAATAAACAAGATGTTTATCAGCACCACTGATTTATGTTCAAGTCACTCTTGTTGTTTTAAGCTACACATGTTATCATAAGACTATGGTTCATAGTCTTGTATGTTGATATGTAGATTATAACCTGAATGTTTCAATAACTACATACTGTTTATTTTCAGAGAATCATCATATCTATCCACATTTATTCATTGATAAGGATGTGATTTTAAAAAGGCATTCAATTGATTGTGAGTTTCTCATGAATAAATTATGAGGAATGAAGAAAAAGAAATCTCTACATCGTTTATTTAATCATATTTGTGATTTGATTTGATTCAAAGAGGCTACAATGCTATTATTTATAAAATTGGGTTTCTGTTTGCTCCCTGGATTAATTTCTCTGTGCATGATTCATATTTATATCCTAATAGCACATTTAAAAATTCCTTTAGAAGGCTATCGTCATTATGGCCCCAGTTTCTCGTCGCTGATTAATTGGCCTGTCAGACACCCCCCTCCACCCTCATACATTTCGAGACTCCACCATCGCCTCAGTCTCATACAAATCTTTCTCGCCATCTAGCACATTACGACGAGGAAGATACAACACATGGCGACTCAGATTAAGGTCGCCCCCTTTGCATAGATGTTGCCCTGGCTCTCCTTCACAAAACGAATGTCGTTGGATTGCTTCCATCAGTTTGCTGAATACATCGCTCCCAAAAAAGTGGATGTGTGCTTGTTGCCGATGCGAACATCACGTCCATGGTTCATCTGAACAGCTTGGATAAAGCGTGTACCATTTCTCTTTTCAAAATGCCAGATCTCGAGCGAACAGTCTGACGTCCTGACCCATACAGTGCACGAAAGCATGCAAACGATTGGTTTCCGCGACGCAAGCTTCTTACGCATATTCATAGATCACGCAAGAAATCGGGGAGCATTTTAAATAATGCTGCTATCAACCAAAACCGTGGTAATTTTTCGAGAAGGGTGAGATTCACTGTTCTCGCGCATCCGTTGGAACTTCGTTTTCTATAGTACGGTTCTCCATGGACCGTTGAGAGCTTGGATTATCCACTGAAATATATATCTACATCTTTACCTGGAGGCAAACGGCATTTATTATGTTAGTTATTCCGACATCAAGTCAACCCGTCTGCTATTCGAATCGGACACCAAATATAGTTTGTACTATATTAGAGTAATGCTTGTCTAATAACAAATTGGTAAAAGTCAATTTCATTTTCTGAGGTGGAGGTTGGAAAAGGTCCTTGCCGATTTGACTGCCCCTTTACGGAGTAAGGGTGTTTTTTTTTTATTTTAGAGCTGTATGTCGGACCCTTGACTATATGTTGTCGTTCTCGTAGTTAGCAACCTTTGCAATGAATCAAGCTTCTCATTTGGTGACAATAAGGGTTAGAAAACAAGTAGGCCCAGGAGGTATTCTGTCACAGAGCTCAGCCAAGGGAAGAAGAGTATGGCCTTTTGTGGCTTTGCACTAAAGAGCCAACAATAAAAATATCGACAGAAAAAAAATAAATATCCGTATCACATTTTCGTATTTGTATTATATAAGAATTCCCTCCAGATGCACATAACCTGGATTCATAATATAGAGATGTATGTATACGTGGGCAAAAAAACCTTAGCTCCAGAGATAATCAGATAATGGTGTGAAACTAGTGGCTTATAGCAATATCAAGCCACGTAAAGATCCACGACTAGAGAAATAAAACACAGAATGTGAAAAATCTGGGGCAAATATGAGAATGGTGGCGAGAAAAGAGGTATAGTTAAAATAACTTGACGCTCTGTCACGAGTGAAGTGGTCTCCAAGACAAAAGAGAAAGAAGAAAGAAAAAGGGGGAAAGCAACTACCGTAGAAGCCGAGACCTGGATACCACTGGGGAGGCGAGATAATCCTGATAGTGATATGTATTTCTCTCCCTGCCATTGTTGCATAAAATATAAGGATTTCAAAAGAGGTAGGATATACTTAGAAAGCGGGGGTGGATGGTGCTATGAAGAAGTGCTAGCTCCTCCAACTTTGGATACTACAGCTGATGCAACGGGATCTTCCCGGCTCAAAACCCACATGAAGATAAATTGGACAATGTACGAGTAGATAAATAAGAACTGCGTGCGTCTGTTGCGCTGTGAACGTGCAACTGTGGGCATAGTTCCTCCGCGCATTGGGGAATCGCTAGAATAATCCGGAAGAAGAACGTATTTCAGGGATCGGAGCTGCAGTATGTTGGATTAGTATGCACAGTGGGTATGTAGCAAGATATGCTGAAGATGGGGACTTACGAGAAAGAAAGCGTTAGCAAGGAAAGTATACGTAAAGACAGTCCATCCAACCCAGCTACCAGTTCCCTGTCCCGGGGTAAGAACTTCTGACAAGACAAGCGTCACGATGATGCCGACAAACTTATAGCCGGAGTAGGCGACCAGGTCGAGGAGCTGTGAGTCATTGTTGATGCTGAGAATGTACATTGCAATCTTCAGACAGAGGATTTCAAATATGACAACTGCGAGGGCGGTTGTGGTGATGGACCCTAGAAGTTCGGGGTGGAAGACGCCTCGCAGACCTGCCAGGGCTGTTGACAAGATAATGTACGTCAAAAATGCCATGGCAGGTATGTACATATCTGGTGAGTTTAGATCATCCCGGGGAGGAAGATATATTGATGTGTACTGTGTTTGCGTGATCTGGCCATTAACCCCTGACTGGACAGCATTCAATCGTGCTTGTTGGCGGGACCACGGTTTGTGCCGCCACGGAAAAAGAACAAGTGTGATCTTATTGAGTACGTATGAATTCGAAACGTTGAAGTAATGTTTTAAAGCGGGAATCGAGACGTAGCGATTTAGCTATCAAATCAATCAGTCAGATTAACAAACAGGGTGAGGAGAGCCGGAAACAGTTACTGCTGAGCAGAAGAATTCCTACATTCTGTTCCATATATTCCTGTCCTGCCATGACCGCACTCTTGCCCACTTGAAAGCCCATTTGCGCTGTCGGATCAGAAATGAACCCGCCAAAGCCAGGCGCAAAAGTACCACTGCCGCCTTGTGCCGGGGCGGGCTGGTACGGGTTGCCATAGCTGGATGAATGCGAGTGTTGGGAGGTCGGAGGGGGTGGAGATCTCATCATCGGGACCGTAGAAACATGCTGGGGTACTGGGTGATGTAGGGGAGGAGACTGAGCAGGTGGTGGAGCAAAAGAATTACGGTGCATAGCGTTTACAATTGAGGTCGCCCGGGAGTGATGGTGAGATTTCGCATTGACCAGCAAGTGTCTTGAATGACAACCTCGTGGCAAACGTGATTGTGAGGTTGACAGCGACGAAGCCTAACTCAAGTCTATTCTCTTGAAAATATCAGGGCTGTAGAATGAAAAGCCAAGGATTGGTGGCAGCGAGATGCTAAGCTGTGCGGGATGTGTAATGATGATATGTTGATATTTTGATATCCTCGACATTGCCGTCAATCACCCAGATGGTTTGACTTAACTGATAGTTTAACTAGTTGATAAGTTGCGATGTGCCCAGGTGGTGGTCGGTTCTTGCTGACATAAGCCTGGCACTTCCGCGGATTCAAGGTGCGTCGTGAGAGCAACAACGCGGGAACAGCCATCAACGGGAGACGAAGAGAGAGAATACATAGGGATCGGCGACGGGAATTTTCTAGTTTGGTCTTCTTCTTGCAGTTGTGCTGTGTTACGCTCTTTTATTATTGTTCCCCTCCACGAGTTGCCATAATGCTCGACTCCTTCGAAATCATAACCACCTCTGGTGTGGTCTTGTGGTCAAGGTCGTATGCGCCTGTGGGGGCCCAGATTATCAACAGTTTGATCAACGATGTCTTTATCGAGGAGAAACTCCAGCCCGAGGCTGGCGCGGGTAGCGTGGCTCCAAGATACAGGAAGGAAAATTACACCTTGAAGTGGAGGCGGGCAAAAGATCTTGGTTTGATCTTCGTGGTATGCGTGAGAGCATCTCCGGCACGGCTGTCCACACGGAATATGAACTGCTAACTCAATCTGGTGAAATTTGGTTTTAGGCAGTCTACCAATCTTTGCTTCACTTGACCTGGATTGATGAACTACTTGAAAATATCAAAACTATTTTTGTGGAAATGTATAAAGAACAACTCAAGCGGCCAAATTTCAGAGTGATCGAGTACCCATTTGATAGATATTTCGACCAGCAAGTGAAGGAGCTAGAGTCCGCTGCAGCAACAGCTGTTGAAAAGCGTCCTTCTTTGTTGGTTGAGGAAAAGAAGGATACGCTAGTTGATGCGGACAACGGAGGCCCGCCCCCGCCTACCGCCCCTGGTATCCTTCCCGGTAGGCTTCCGTTTTGAACAGCTGTTCGGTTTTGGCATGCTGACTCTCCAACAGAGCAGCATCATGCTGCACGGGCCATGGCGATCTCAAATGAGAGGTTGCCTTCCCCAAGTCCAGATGCCTCGAGGCCAGCAACGCCAACCCATATCCTCACCGCTAAAACTGGACCGGGTGGTCGCATCTCCCGTCGCGCACGCAAGGCTGCAAATGCAAATGCGAATATTTCGTCGGGTGAGGACAATATCAAAAAGGCAAAGAGTGCAAAGTCAGGGAGGAAGAAAATGCGCAAATGGGACGCGGACGGATTTGCCGACGAGGATGACGGCGAAATTCTGGATTATTCAGCTTCCAATGTAGATGGTTCTGAATCGGAAAATGTGGCTGCCCCCTCGGTGGAGGCAGTGGATCAGAAGTCGTGGGGAACAAAAACTAAAAGGGGCCAATTCGTGCTCAAGGACCTGGGTGACGAAGTCCACTCCATCCTGCAAAACGCGGATGCTGTCAAGGATAATGCCAGCGCATCGAATGGCCTTGTAGGATCCAGTTTAGGTGCTATCAGTGGTCTTTTCCGAAACATTGTTGGTGGTAAAGTTTTGACCAAAGCAGACCTGGATAAACCTCTCAAGGCCATGGAGGAACACTTGCTGAAAAAGAACGTTGCCCGCGAGGCAGCGGTTCGTTTATGCGAAGGCGTTGTACACGAATTGGTGGGCAAAAAGACAGCCAGCTTCCAAAGTATCGATTCTGCGCTTCGATCCGCGATGGAATCATCCCTGCGCAAAATCCTCACACCAACATCATCCTTGGATCTTCTTCGTGAAATTGAAGCCGTTACTTCGCCGTCAAGCTCACAAAGGCAGCGCCGCCCATATGTCATCTCAATTGTCGGAGTAAACGGAGTGGGAAAATCCACCAACCTTAGCAAAATATGCTTCTTTTTGCTTCAGAATAACTATCGTGTCCTTATCACGGCGTGCGACACCTTCCGCTCCGGCGCCGTCGAACAACTGCGCGTGCATGCACGCAACCTGCAAGAATTAAGTTCCCGAGAAAACGTTGGACATGTGGGGTTATACCAAAAGGGGTACGGCAAGGATGCGGCGAACGTCGCAAAGGATGCAGTAGCCTACGCTACCGCGAACAGCTTTGACGTTGTGCTAATCGATACAGCTGGCCGTCGACATAACGACCAGCGCCTCATGTCTTCGCTGGAGAAGTTCGCAAAGTTTGCGCAGCCTGATAAAATCTTCATGGTGGGTGAAGCTCTCGTTGGCACCGATAGCGTCATGCAAGCTCGCAATTTTAACCAGGCGTTTGGGGCTGGCCGGGGACTTGACGGATTCATAATCAGCAAATGTGATACGGTGGGTGACATGGTCGGCACGCTTGTCAGCATGGTTCATGCCACGGGCATCCCTATTGTTTTCCTAGGTATCGGACAGCATTATGGTGATCTGAGAGGATTAAGTGTCTCTTGGGCAGTGGGGCTCCTGATGAAGTAGATTATAATTTTGTGATTTTTGTATTCAATGTTGGATGGCATTCAGTCTTATGATATTTTCATATTGATATTCCGTTGTCGCGTCACATTTGGCGCCCTCTTAATGGAGGACAATATGTGCCTGAAGATGGCAGCTATTTTATTTGCTTTCTCTTACATGACATCACTTGAGCATTGCTTTCTGGTAACTATCCTTAACAGACCCTCCTCTAAATCCCGCAACTCCCCCGATTGGATCACATCATACCTTTGAATCTAGAATCTAGAACCGATTACACTGTCTCAACTTTTTTTAAGTCTATAGTTAATATGATCTAATGTAGGAGGCAACATCGAACTCGCATATTCAATAATACCGCGCAATGAAATACCAGTCCGATAGTTGTTCCAACCTGTTAAAGTGATGTTAGCTAATTATAACGTGACACTATCATGCATTAAAGGTGAGAGAGTCTTTCCAAGGTTGAACAGGAAGTGTTTATCATCAATTCCGCGGGAACGTCTCTTATAACTACCTTTACCTTTCTTTACCTTTACCTTTCTTTACCTTTACCTTTCTTTACCTGGGCGACAATAAAATGTTTCAACTCAGGTTAAGTTTGAACCCAAATCGACATGGGGTGCACTCGGCCCGACCTTCCTCCGAGCATCTCTGAGCAACTCGCGGATCATCGGCGAGTCTCAAGTTTGTCAGTTGGTAGCCAGTTTAGCCGCGTGGATGGGATAGAACACAGCCCCAGAATTTGGATCTGCATCTATCTGGTATTTTACCGCAATATTTTCCCCGACAAATCTACCGTAGAAGCCTTAACTACTGGAATATCCGAATCACTGTATCAGAGACGCGATCTTAATCAGGTTGGGTTGCGGCTCAACCTTCGACTGGCTTCAGAATTCTCAGCCAAGCCGCCCACACCACATACATCTTGTTCCTGCGTCATCGAATATCGCCCCCCCTCCCCCCCCCCACCTCCCCCTACCTCCCTCTTGTCTGTCTATTAGGTGAGGTCATGGCCATGTAAATCAAGAATGAGAATTACAACGCCTCTGGGGCGCTATCGACGAAGTTGACCAATTGCCCGGAGACTCCCGGCTTCTGACCTCATCGTCTTAACAAGACTATCGATGTTGATTGGATCCGCACCACGCAGTTCCTCAAGAGACAGCAAACTCTGCAACGGAAGGGTTGGCAGGAAACAGGCCAGGCACGGGGTTCCATTTTCAACGTTCCCTTCCGCATTTTTAATTGCTTTCTATCTCCGTGACCTCTCGAGTCGACGTCGGCAACTATGCCATCGACACCGAAACCGGTGGACAGACGCCGCTCTTCAACACAGCAATACACCACTTTCTCGACCCCTCCTCCCAAATCTCGTGGGCGGCCCCTATCAAGCGAGTCGGATTCATCTAACAGCAATGGCGAATCCGAATCTTCCATGGCGGAATCCCCATTGCCTACGGGCCAAATGGCCATTCTTGCCTTCATCTCCCTCTGCGAACAAACCGCTCTCAACTCCATAAGTCCCTATCTCCCGCAGATGGCAGCGTCTTTCCCCAGTGTACGTCATGACCAGGTTGGGATGTACGTAGGCATAATTGCATCTGCTTTTGCGCTGGCGCAGTTTGCGACAAATTTCTTCTGGGGCTGGTTATCAGACCGCATCGGCCGCAAACCTGTCATATTATCGGGCGCGATTCTCACTGCAGCCTGTTTCTTGGCCTTTGGTTTCTGCAAGACTCTTTGGCAAGCCATTCTTGTGCAGGCTCTGATGGGACTGGTCAACGGGAACCAGGGCGTGGTCGCTACTTGCTTAGGTGAGATTACTGATCGCAGCAATCAGTCACGGGCATTTACATATCTGCCAGTGATATATGGGATTGGAGGAATCATCGGACCAATTGTTGGTGGCCTCCTGGTCTCAAATGCCAGTCAGGTCAATGACGACTATCCTTACCTCACCCCCAACCTCGTCTCAGCAGCGGTCTTAACTTTGGAATTTGTCTTAACATTTATATACCTGGACGAAAGCCTTGAGAACGCTAGCACCTTTCCCGAAATTGGGAAGAGAGTTCGAGATCTTTTCAGTTGGTTATGGCAGTTCACGAGCTCCTCACGGCCGACATACTTGCGATCTCAGGGTTCCAGTTACCGGCACCACTCCGACAGCGCAATACGACAAACGTATCATACAGAGTCAGGCGATGAAACCGATGCAGATGCCGATTCCGTGTCGGAAAACTCTCCTCTGTTCCACCCCCGAGATTACTCAAATGGTCTCGATCGTGATGGGGTTTTCAATAGAGACACAATCCTCTTACTCCTTACATATTTGATATTTGCACTCTCGAACGTCGCGTTCAACTCTCTGTACCCCATCTTTGCTGAAGCGCCTCCGCCAACGGGTCGCGGACTTCAACCTCACGACATTGGACTGTCACTCGCCTTTGCGGGCGTTGTTACCATCATATTCCAGATTTTCATTTTTGGAAGGCTGAGAGACAAAATGGGGAATAAATGGTCATACAGAGCCAGCCTACTGGGATTCGTAATTTCTTTTCTTCTACTGCCGTTTGTCGGATATAAAGATACCGCTGCACCTAATGGAGAAATATCAAAGAGCTACGTCTTTCTCGCGATAGAAGTGTGTGCCGTGTTACTTGTGAAGACAGTCGCCACTGTTGGTGGCCTAACCAGCGCTTTGCTATTGGTATGTCGATCACTGCTTTTCTTTTTTCTTTCTTTCTTCCTTTTTTTTTTTAAAAAAAAAAAAAGCTCCACGAAATATCTCCTGGTCATTCTGTACTGACCCCCAACTAACTACTCTGCACAGATCACCAACTCTGCCCCAAACAACCAGGTCCTTGGCTCCCTGAATGGCCTAGCTCAAACTCTGTCCGCAGCTGGGCGAACGGTCGGACCATTTCTGTCCGGGAGTCTCTTTACCCTAGCAACTCGAATAAAACCCAAAGGCGAGGCGATGGCCTTTGGCATCTTTGGTGGCGTAGCCTTCATCGGCTTCCTGCTAAGTTTCGGCATCAGATCATGCAACATGGAAGCAACAGGGTTTCGCGATTCCGACGACAACCATTATAAATCTGATGATGAAGAAAGTTCTAATTGAGCGTTTCCTTTCTGCTGGCTTTCTCTCTCTCTCTCTTTTTTTTTTTTTCTTTCTTGTTCTTTTAGGCAAATCGTGAATTGGTTTCATACGCGGAAGCATCCTGTTGGTCTCCAGCATCGTTTTCTTACTACTCACCCGGGCGTTCTTCCATGTTAGATGATACAATAACCCTCTCGTTTTATCGTCCCCGTCGTGTATATATGTGCTTGACATATGCTACATGGGACTGTCTCCTTCGTTTTCCCAGGATTGGAGGTTTACTTTCGGTGTTCTTTGCCGCGTGCTTGTTCTTCTCTCATAATGTAACGGTACGATTGTTGATGATTTCCTTCCCCTTCTGTATTTAGAACTTTACTTTCTCTCTCTGTCTCACTGAGAACTCCGTCAGCAGACGACAGAATATGCGCATAAGAACAACAGCCTACGGATGGCTCATACCTGTTCTACCATGATTAATGCATTTCTACTCTTGAAAGGGATTTTGCCCCTTACATATCCTTAGGGTTGGCAGGCTACGGGGAGGTTGGATGACGTCTAAACCCGTCCACAAGTCCCTTCGTATATTACCCCTGATGCTTTGAGTATTCCATTTTCAATTTTCCCTTTTCCAGGACTATGTGAATCGCTTTTGCTTGTCCATATAAAATAAGCGGACCACGAAAATACATCTTTAACTACCGCAACTAGGAATTAGAGTAAGATGAATACGAGGTGAATCTTATTTCCTAAGCTTCCAACGCAGCGACTGGGGGTCAATCGCTTTGATGCGCAAATAGAACCGCAATTGACGTAATGGAGGTGGGCACCAGTTGGTGGTGTTCCAATCATCTCAAATACATTCAACGTATACTATAATATAACATGATTACCCGTTCCCTAAGCCATCATGACCAAAAACAACTGAATAACTATTATCATTAAACCTAGGAAATATATCTTCCTGGATGATGTTGGAACACATCTTGGGCTGGTCTTCTGGTCTCATCGGTATTGCTCTTTTCAAGCAGTTCTACCTACAGAGAGAACTCCGTATCTCAACCAGCAGAATAACAAATGATGGCTTCCCCCAGTTCTGGGATTTTCCATCACTCATTATGGAACTCGTACAACATCATCCTCCGCAAAATAAATATCTTGGCTTTGGGTGCTCACTGCAACATCTCCTTCGAGATGTTTTTGCTACCATGGGTCAACTGCGAAATCCAATGGGCAACAACATTGGGGATTGAGGGGAGGCCACGAAGATCTCGAGGGTTATGAAAGCACTCGATAGATGTACTCGATAGATGTACATCTTTTGGTATCAACAGCAAACCCAAAGGACTTCCCCCCGTCCTCAATTGAACTACAAATTCATCTTGGGTATATTCGTTGTGCCCGTGTCAGAGATCTCGCCGGACAAGCTTTCACCATCAAAAGATGCCTGCCTCCCTTATGCAAGAGGAACCTAGGGGCTGAAAACACGAATACAACAAAACAACCGAGTTCTCGTTGCAGAAGACATGAATGATGGCTCCTCCCAGCACACAGAGCCGGCCACTGCTGATGCGGCAGATAACTAACCAATTAACAGTTTCGATCTGCAGTTCTCCAAACTGGTTCTCCACCAAGTTGGCTCTGGCATATCCTTCCACTGCTCTTTGCGACGTATGCTTTCATCTTCATGGATAAGATCATTATATCCAGCTCTGCGGTTGTTTGGGCTCCCGGGAAGAACAACGGTAAACCCATCCCCACACGGTCCCGTCCCGTCCACATCACTTTCATTTATTACTCCTAATCTTCTTCAACCGGAATAATTACTTACCCTCGTTCGATGGATTAACTAGAATATGGTCGGATCCCATTGCAGCTGGGTCTCTAGCATTTTATTCTTTGGATACCCTTCTCTGGGCTAATCCAACTTCCTTAATCCAAAACCTTCGGTATCTATACTAATTGTGGGTCGTTTAGATACCATATGGTGGAACCTAGGACTTTGCCAACCTCGTCCAAAGGTATTGTGGCTCTGACATAGACACTGGTAGAGTTATTTTAAATCTCCCTCTATGTACAAATGTCTCTCACCTTATACCATTGTTAGACATTAGAAGTTCATGACAAAGGACTTAACTTTATAATGTGAAGTGCACATGGAGAAAACAGGGAAAATGTGGAATGTTTGCTCATTGTACTAAAAACTAAACTACGACACATATCATCTGATTACACCGAGCGAATACAAAGGTGTTCTTGTCAGCTAAGAAAGGTGGCATTAAATACAGCTATGATATATCAAAGCGAGCATCATGTCTAGTGAACTATCAGCATCCCTTCAACTTGAGGTTGTAAACATCAAAAACACAATACAAGAAAATACAGCGGTCACAAGGATTTAGGGAGATAAGGGGGAAACCATGGGTAAATATGATGGAAGAATTTTGGGCTAAAACACGACATGGAAACCCCAACAGCAGTTCCATCTTTTGATGTCCTCGAGATAATCCCGTATTTCAGTTGTTAACCAATCCTCCCGTCAATTAGTTGCAACCCTAGCCAGTCAGGAAATGCCATATTCCCCCTCGCTGAACAAAAGACGCAAAACACAGAAAACAAATAAGGGGATGCGGACTGGGGAATAAAGCCATAGAAATCGTAATGTCAGGCGAGCTGAGAGGTCGAGAAGTCTCGTATCTTCGGGCTCGTTTCTCATGGTGATTTCGTTCCGTCGCGTCGCGTTGAGTTTTCCAGAGCCGAGTAACGTTGTTGAATCCGGATACCCTGAAAAGTGGCTCCGAAGCAGCTGCCACAGACTCGTCTGGGGCAGCAGAAATTAATTTTTTATACTTGGTGCCTCCCGCCCATGGAAACACATAGCGATACGTGTGAAGAGATCTTTCTTTGTCTCCCGCTTACGAATCGAAGCTTCATGGTCAACGAATTTGGGCCACGTATTACGCAGAACCAGTACCTTGACCGAGGCAGCCGCTCTGTCGTATACGTTCTCGTTGAAGGAATCAGGTATGAGTGTATTCGGAGGTAAGCGGGGGACCATATTGATAATATTCTGATGCCCACGGTACAAGATGTCTTCGTATTCTTGTGCAGGGGTTTTTTGCTCGTTTTGGTCATTGTCGTGAGGTAACTGGACCAGAAAACTGCCTGCGGTTGCTTCGATGTCGCTGGTTACAGGGCAGATACCGCTTTGGCTGGGTTTGCGCTTAGGAAGCTTCATGAGTGTCATTGCTGCAGGCATAAAGACGTTTTTCAGGTCGCGGTAGATATCTGACTCGATATTGATGGGGAATTCCGCTCCAAAGAGGTGGACATACGTGACGTAGATTTCGATCGCGACATTGTATAAGTGGCGTCGATAGCTCTCCATCTCGTCCGCATTTGGCTTTTTGAGCTTCATGTTTGCTGGAGATCGGCCCCAGGCTGCTTTCCAGTCTCGAACATGGTTGAGGAACATGATGTTTTCGCCGGAGAAATCGTGGGTGGCGGCGAAGTGGAGGAAGCGCGGGGAGTCGCTGTCTAGAACTTTTTCTAGTGCTGCGAGGCTGTAGTCGCGGTTATTGTTTTTCGAGAGGGAGCCGGAGCTTCGGAGAGCTTCCAAATCCCCCATTGTTTGCGAGGCACGGGCTTGAATCTTCCGTATAAACATGACCTCGTAAAATGGGAAAAAGAGTGTTGCGAGCTCCATCATCATGATACCCGGTAGAAACCTGCATTTGTTTGAACGAAGACATGTGTTACAAAAGTTAATCGGAATATCTCCTGAGAAAGGGGGGTTGGGGCTGGCGCAGTGAATGAAATGCTCCATCACTTACCACAGCGGCGGGCCCCAATAAGTGTTCATTTGACGGTATGAGAGGTTTGGAGAATACAGAGACCCGAGCCACATGGGGAGAGCAATTAATCTGGCAATTAAGAGCGATCAATAACAGTTCAAACTTCAAAGGGATGGTTCGTTTACCCAGCAACGATGCAAAGTGATGTCTGCAAACGCCAACAATGGACATCTTTGATATTCCGGATCTTAAATAATACACAGGGTGCAAATATCCAAGACCAAAAGAACTGCCAGATGATAGTTGGAAGCCTGATTGAGTGTCCTGTCAGGTAATCATCCACATGAACACATTGCGCGAGATGGGAGGTATGCTACTTACCATTCAATGCCTTGTCTACACTGCAAACGATTCTCATACTTCGACCACAGCCCATGCGAATTGAATTTTCGGGACCCAATGTAGATGAGTAGAGATGAAGCGAGCTAGGGAAATTTCAGCATACAAGGTGAAATCTTCTCGTTTCTTCACCAGCTGAGCGCAATAGTTGGAAACCGCACCTCGAGAAACATCCCGAACCCAATTCCAAACATGGTCTGCTTCGCCCAGGTCAGATGTGTCCACCAACACCTGAATTTGTTGAATGGACAGCGAATTTCCTCTGGCGTGGGATCGTTGGTGGTGCCATCATCTCTGAGGAAACGCTGCTGGAGAGTTGCCACGTTCAGCAGCTGGATGTTAGAAGCCTGGAACAGAGCAATTCCAATGGGTAGTACTCCGCACATAAACCAGAACTCGAGGTCACAAGAGATAGACCCTTTGAGAGGATAGGCAAGTATATAGAATCCCCCATATCCATGCAAGAAGATGACCGAACAGGTAGCCAGGGGCACATTGCGCATGCGGACAGAGGGAACTGTCTTATTACGCCAAAGCACGATGAGCCCCCAGAGCACGAGGAGAGTCCAGACGATGTCGAACCCCACGTAGAAAACTCCAAGGGCGTTGAGGGGTTGGAGGCCCTTGTCCCAGCCCGGCAGGGAGTTGTCTACCATCTTGTTGAGCAATGGAGCTTGGTTGAGTTGGTAGGAGCAAAACAGAGGACGAGATCGGCAAGATGTAGGAAAAGAATGTTAACCGGTCACACTGAATGAACCAAGTTCGGGAGAGAATTAAATAGAAGATAATAAAGAGCGGCATCAGACGTCAAAGACATGGTGTTATTCGCCCTCGCTGTGTTATTGCACGCATATAGGGGAGTGAGAGACGGAGCAGAAAATAGATAAAATTTCTATAGAGAATCTAGAAACATGTAGATCCTTGACAGAGCGACAGTTACTCGTCCCACGGGGCAGAGCAGCTGTGCCACGAATGAGCATTGATACACACACACACCCGCTATTATAGTGGGGGCGTAGAATGGGAAATCTGTGGTTAGGGTTTACGCTCTGCTTCATGTCTCGTATTTTTACATACCTGTTGCCCTCCCCATGGGTATGTGTCGGGACGTTCTGATGCGTCTGATTAACGTCAGGGATTCGGGCCTTGGGTTAAAAGTACCAACCCCGCGAGACATCCATACGTGAGATGTGTTGACTGGATAGGAGTTTTCCTATACCGCATATCCCCCATGACGTTTGCACTGCAGCATATGTATGAATTTGCAATAAGAGTACTTTGTTCAGGCTGAACAAAAACATGTAAGAAATACAAGTAGCTTTGTAACCGGAAAACAGACCGAAAGATAGGGTCACCGTGGAAGACGAAAGAAGCTTTCTTAATTGAGGTTGGAGATACTAGTCCATTATAAAAGCATGAAATTGGAATAGCTGGATTCATAGTAGTGGAGAAATTCCTGGAGCCAACACGAAATAAAAATAATGAAGCTGCTAATGACAACACGAGACCGTAATTGACTTGATTGCTGCATCGATGGATAACGGGGAACAAAAACGACCACGCCCGATAGTCTGTAACATTATCCATTGCATCTAAACCTAATGAAAGGTAGCACGGTTCAAGAAATTTGGGGGAAAGGGAACGTGGGTATTGGGTAGACTGAAATTTTGGCATCAAACATGCTCCGCCCAAAAAGGTATACTTTTAGATTGTTACCCCAACTGGGTAGAGTTGTTCCCTTCGCAGACAGGCCATCTACGCCAACTGCGGAGACACAGTGGAGAGATTAGAACAGATAAGACCCAATATCCACCGGCGGTTTCCAGGTTCGGAATTCACACACAATAGCCCGAACCAAAGTCGTGGGATAGAAACCTATAGGGAGCAAATGCTTGGAAATAATTAGTATAAAACTGATAGCTTGAAAAGGTCCAACATAGGTGATGTTAAAAAGCGTCCTCAGCGATCTTGGTGTAAAAGATACTATCATCGCCCGGAGGCATCAACTACTATCTAGTGCGTAAGGGTGTCATCACTGGACAAAAGGGGTCGTAAGAGAAAAATAATTTATACACACCTCATCTAGCAAATAATGATGTTGGAAAAAGGCCCCTTTCGCCATTCATCTACTCATGTTGGAGTTGACTTTTATCTGGTAGATAAACGCCTAACCCCGAAAGTTCGGGTGTATAATAACCAGCACGGAGAATATTGATTATTGATATCTATTCTCATTTAAAATATCAGTCTATGCTTCAATGGATAAAGTGGATTATCGAATAAGTGATAGGGAGGGGCAAAGGTTCAGAATATGTAAGAAATTGAATATCACAGCCGAAAACTGCTATTTGAAGCTCTGGCGGGAGCTTCACAGTGAACGGATCAACCGCAAATTACCGCATCATTATGAGGCCACAGAGAGGAGAAAGGAGCAGTAAATACAAGGGAACATATTTTGCTTACCAGTTACTAGTCAAGTGATTGCACTGCGTGGATTGTTAACAGAAGCCATAATCATCGATGGCTTGTACTCTGTAGTAAATACATCATCCATCGCGATGGGCCACTTCCTACACCGTCATCGCAGCCCGTTGAAAAGAGGCGTAAGAGAGGCTCATGTATTCCACGGGAATTATTAGTTGAGCTCGGTTTATAGATCAAACCCTCTCTGTAGCAGAGGTGTTCCAAAAATTTTGTTTCAACGAGGAAAACAAGAGAATTGCCGTTTTTAAGCAGTTTCGCCTAAACAAGGGCTAACCTGCATTCGGCAGCCCTAGTTGGGGCAATTAAGCGAGATGTTTTGTGGGCAAACCAACTATTGCTGCGATCAACCCGAAATTCGCGATAACCAGCCAGGCCCAACACATCGACGACGACGACATCGACAATTCGACAAGTTCCCCCCCCCTTCCCAACCCCTACGCCTATTCACACCCGGTCGATTGTGAGTTTCCGCCCATTTCATCCGTTTTGCCCGCTGCCCTCGGTCCGACTTAGATATATCGTCTGTTGCTTGTCCGCCAGACTAACCGCCCGGCATCTCCCATTTGCGATCTAGGTAGTCCTTCAACGAACATGGCTCAAGTCGACATCAAAACCTCGTCATGGAAGCTCGTTGAGGTCGGCCGTATTGTGCTGATCCGGAGCGGTTCTTACACGGGCAAGCTGGCTGTTATCGTTGAGATTATCGACCATAAGCGCGTATGTGATCTCCAAGTCCACTAATTTCGGAGAGAGAAAAAGGAAGAAAGAAGTTCCCACATCCCTCTATAAGAATACTTGTGGTTGCAAAAAAAAAAAAAAAAATTTCTCAAAAGTACGACTTTTTAACTTTTGGTGGAATTTCCCTTTTGCAGGTCTTGGTCGATGGTCCCGCCGGTCATGAGAACAAAGTCGTGCCTCGCCATGCCATCTCCCTCTCCCACGTCTCCCTCACACCTTTCACCATTCCCAAACTACCCCGCTCCGCTGGCACCGGACCCGTGAAAAAACTTTGGGAGAAGGAGGAGATCGATTCCAAATGGGCCAGCAGCTTGTTTGCTAAGAAGAAGGAACAAACTGACCGGAGACGAAACTTGACCGATTTTGAGCGGTTCAAGGTTATGAGATTGAAGAAACAGGTGGGTTTGCGATATTTTCTTGGGGGTTATAGGCAGAGTGGAGGACATATGACTTTAGGGGAAATTTGAATTCTATCAACGAATTTGGCTTTCTTTGCTTGTGGACCCCACACGCTTCCATTACGAAGTATACTAACTTATCTTTCTTTCTTTTTTACAGGCCCGCTATGAAGTGCAAAAGGCACATGCTAAAATCCGCGCTTCCTCTTCGTAAACGGGTTTAATGGAGTGTTGGTTGTTGTGCGGGCGTTGAAAAGGGCCGAAAATGGGAATATATGGGTTCTGGCGACCGGGCGAAGAAAACGCTCGATATCCATTTTGTTCCTGAAAACTGCTGTAAACAAATTTCATTTCAGAATTTGAAACGGCGAAGTCGTTCAATTAATTTTCCTTTACTTTCTTAATTTTCTGTCTTGCTCTTTTAATTCAGCATACAATACACGGCACATTGGACAATTTCTTAGGGACTTCTGCTCCCGTGCTCCCGTTTCAACGATCTTGAGATAACGAATTTCATAATGATATCAGCATCCCCCTTAACGTCCCCTATTCCACTGCGCAACGCACATCTTTCCGCCCACACTAGTCGTGACCATCATGCGATTGGAATTTACGACCGACGATATGGCCCACCAAAACACTTCTTACTGACCTTAACATTATGCTGTCAATTTATATTCAATATAGAATTGGTTCCGTGATTAGTTCAGAAGACGGTTACGGATCAATTCCAACACATAAAACCACATGCTGTATAAACGAGTTGTTGTTCGCGGGAAATCAGAACATAAGCTTAAATTGCATTGCGATTGTAAATATGTTTATTGTCCATTCACTGCTATTTGGCGGATGGCCGGCTCAATATTGTAGACAAGAGGGCTGCTTTTTTTTTTCTTGCTAAGGATATTCTGCAAGGTGTCCAGGTCAGGCTCTCAAAAGCTCAAACACCGCAGAATAAAAACTCCAGCAAAACCAGTCAAAAAAATAATTCACCTCGCTCAACCCTTCCCTATTTCCCGTGCATCACCAAAGTAAAGTGCTAGTGTCTTCCCTGAACCTGAGGGACAATGATCGCGCTCCCAGTCTGGACGCACAATTTCGGCCTGTGGGGACTCAAATTTAGAGAGACGAAATTTATGTAGGATGGGTTAATCTGGGGGAGTCATAAAGCTAACCAGACACGCAATGTCACGTGCTCTCACGTGCGACACACAGGCGTGGGGCCAACGGCTAACCCACATACAACCCAACAATTTACATTCAACAAAAATTTGCCAAACTGACAACCTTGCGGTGATTGGCAGCAACCTTCAGCTTCCATAAAATCAACCATGTCTTCTTCCCGGATAGAGGAGCTTCCCGACGATGATGTCACCCCCAAGACCACCGTCGAAGATGCCGCTGATAGCTCAGAGTCCGAAGCTGAGGGTGCTGAGGAGCCCAGCATCCCAGGTGGAAGCGCTGTTACTGTCCACTCCCGCAACGAGAAGAAGGCCCGGAAAGCCATTGGCAAGCTGGGACTGAAGCATGTCCCCGGCATCACTCGCGTTACTCTCCGCCGACCGAAGGGTGTAGGCAATATGACTTTCTTTATTGTTTATCCTGTGCACGTTTGGAAACTGAACTGCCGAGAAATTTAGGCTGTTCATTGTTCTATAAAACGATTGCGTACTGATGTCGTCTGCGAATTCTAGATCCTTTTTGTCATCAACCAACCAGACGTCTACCGATCCCCGTCCAGTAACACCTGGATGTAAGTTGCAACCCTACATTTTGCGCACCAATCGGTCGAGATAGAAAATATGGCTAATGTTGTTGAAAAGAATCTTCGGCGAGGCTAAGATCGAGGATATGAACTCCCAGGCCCAGGCCTCTGCCGCTCAGCAACTCGCTGCCGCTGAAGCTGTTGGCAACGATCACGCCGGCCATGACCACGCGCACGATCACGACCACGTCAAGGGTAAGACTGACGAGGCTGTCGAGAAGAAGGACGATGAGGAGGATGACGGAGAGGAGGTCGATGAGAGCGGACTGGAGGCCAAGGATATTGAGCTGGTTATGGCCCAGGCATCTGTATCACGAAAGAAGGCTATCAGGGCTCTTAAGGAGAACGATAACGACATTGTCAATTCTATCATGGCACTGAGCGTATAATCTCGAAATATACATGTTTTTGCGTTTTGTGCCCTTTTCTTTCTCAGTACTTTCACCAAAACATTTTTACAATGTCAAACGAAAGCCCCTTGTCTCTTTTTAGGAGCTAGATTATGATTACTTTTTTCGCTTCCTCACTAGGTAGTGTAAGCCGCTGTGGGGGAGCAAGGAGGTGTACGATCAGACTCCAAATAACTTGTATCTGAATCCATCAACCTTCCATCAGTTCATCCGAATAAATCCCTGCATCTGCATGTTCCCCATTTCGATCCCTTGAGAGCATTTGCTTCATTAATGACAATACTCGCGATTTTGATGCCAAGCCAACCGTTTAAATGTGCATCACGTGACTCGTCGATTCTCGCCATTTCTCGTCAAAACAACCTTCCCCCACCCTCAAATTCCGGCTGTTGCACATTGAAACCCAGGTCAATCACCGCATCAACTCCACAATTAGAATCATAATGACTGTAGCAGTAAGTCAATCTCTCCCATTATCGGTCCCATCCCTCCCCTCGAATCCACCCAACAGATCCCATATCCCAGTCCCACTCGAAACCCCCCAGCCCTGAACGAACCGAGCCAACCTCTTTAACCCTCTTGACCTTGCAATTCAACAGCGGAGCGCAGCTCTCAAGCTCGACTGGGCGAAAGTGTTTACATCCCTCGGACTCCGGGGCCAGACCGCTGCCTCCCTCGCCGCCTTCAAGAAGCGCAACGATGACGCCCGCCGCAAGGTGCAGGTTCTCTCCGACCAGCCCCAAACGGTCGACTTCGCGCACTACCGCAGCGTGCTGAAGAACCAGGCCATTGTCGACGAGATCGAGAAGCACTTCAAGTCGTTCACTCCCTCCACTTTCGATGTCAACAGACAGCTCAAGGCCATCGAGGCATTCGAGGCTCAGGCGATGAAGGGCGCGGAGGAGACGAAGGACAAGGTTGAACTTGAATTGCAGAGTCTCGAGAAGACGTTGGCGAATATCGAGACGGCTAGGCCGTTTGAGGATCTTACGGTCGTATGTTTTCCACCTCTCCAACCTCTCCGTTGGTTTCTGTTGTTTGTATCAATATGCGGATATGTGATGCTAATGGGATCTTTTTCTTTTTCTCTTTTCCCACACGTAGGACGATATCAGCAAGGCTCGACCGGATATCATCGAGAAGACCTCCCAGTTGGTCTCCAAGGGCAAATGGATGCCACCCGGATACAAGGTTCGTTTTTTTTTTTTTTTTCAAGTCCCTCCCCCCTCATCTAGGGACAAACTCCCAGGACCCTAGTAGCCCTCGGGAATTCCATCCAATCAACACAGAATGGAATTCAGACTTATTGGACAATTCTAATGCTAAATCGATTTTTGATACTTCCAGGAACGATTCGGGGACATTTCCTTCATGTGAACTAGGGCTTTCTCTTTCCCATTCGGTTATTTTATCTCTTGCTCTGCCCTCCAAAGGTATTTGTCCCATATCTAGAACATGTCACATATAGAGCAGGGTTGGCCCAAAGGAGTGCGTGAAAGGCGTGTAGGAGAGAGATGTAAGGTGTTGATGTGGATGTGGCTCCGCTGGTCATTTGCGTTATCAACTCCAGAATTCCCCGAACGAGATGTGTATAGAATTTATGTTTTGTATTAGAAGTGATTCTCTTTCCCACTATTGCTCCATTCCTCGATAATCTCTCCCGGACTCCATCCACATGATGTTTTCAATAGCGCATCTCAAGCAGAGAATGGCACACTGCCTAAAGTCTGGGGAAAGCGTGTAAAGGCGATGGATTTCCAGATCGGATGAATTCCACCGATTAGGACCATGCGAAGGAAGAACGAGGTCTTGAAACCTGAGAAAATGTCTGACAATTTCTGTAATCGGGAATTTTCCTAATCGATGTTGACGTCGAAAGAGCCAATGCCCCGAGTCTTCCACGAAAACCCTCTAAACCTTTCCCCTCCTCAGTGAAAACCTCCTCAGTGAAAGTTGCGGTATGCACATTCTAGGGTTTCTTTCTTTCTTTCTTTCTTTCTCTCTTTTTACGGCATTATACCACTCCAAACGAACCGTAGAGTGTATCTCAGAACACGTCTCTTAATCCCGCCATTTATCCGCTTGATGATGAATTAGATTAATCTTCAAACTAGTAATGTGATTGCTAGGAGAATATTGTTTGCGTGTATTGAACTACCCAGCTGAGATCTAAACGAAATATATCACAGCAGCCGTAGTCAACTTACAAGTACTGTTTAACTAGACAACTAAATAACTAAATAACTAAATAACTAGTTAATTAGGTATAAACATGCAAAAAATGATGAGGATAACTGGCCTCGCTTAGTTATAAGATTCTGTTGGCCGCCGTAGAAACAGAGTTCACTAAGCGGAACTTTGTCAGGGCTTTCATATTTTTTACCTCTCCGTAATTTTGATAAGACTCACCGGACTCTCCTTTTTCGTGTTATGGAGACCATGAATACCCCAAGAGCGCAGGCAACGGGAGGTCGGGAATAAGGAGCATGTTTCTTCTTCTTCTTCTTCTTCTTCTTCTTCTTCTTCTTCTTCTTCTTCTTCCTTCTCCTATTTCGGCTTTTCTTCCAACGACAATGCATGCTCAGTGAAGCTGCAACAAGAATGCCGAATTCTAATCTAACATTGATAAGGGTCAGGGGCAAGAGACACAAAACTTCAATCTCTGCAGTCGAAGATGTGGCACGCAAAGCCCGCATAGCGAACAGGAACAAATCCTGCTCGTCTCGTCCGTCTAAAAACCCGGTCAAACATAAACATTCAGATAAAATTCGTTTGCGTGATGGCAGTCGTGCTAAGATGGTAGCAGGTAAGCGTGTCGGCCACCTCGAAGCCCTCCCAGTCGAATTGATAGAAAAAATATTCCTGCATTCACTGGAGTTTAATTTCGCTAGGGTTTCGCCAGCTTTTGGGGCTCTCTTATCCCGAATGCGTGTCTTCAGGATTTTGACGTTTCTTGCGTTCTACAACGACCCGAGACCCGATGATGGACGCAGCGCAGCATATATCTCGAACTTCCTCCGGCCACTGGAATACGTCCCCCTGGGTCCCAATGCGCAAAAGGCTCTCCAAGCCGAGGTTATCAATTGCCCGTGGTTTAATTTATCCCTTCTTAAGCAGTGCCATCGTGATGTGTTTCATGTGACGTTGCAGAACTTCGTGTTTGGGGATTCGACATGTTCATTTGGGTTGGTACTCGACAACCCAGATTTTGATCTTTTGACCAAGCACCTCGATAAGAATCCAGAGGATTGGGGAGCCTATTTCAAAGGAAAGGACCGGCACGGCGAATCTTGTCACTTGAAGATTCAAGTCCACAGGGTGGGCGTTATGTCCAATGTGCTTTGGGCTCCTGATTTCCTCCCAATGGTTGTTTGGACGGTCCCGGATGAATTTTTCGCGGAGAAGCCTTGGACGGAAGACAAGTTTTGTCTTTTGCACTCCCTTCTCTTGTATGCGCCCCACGACTTTTTGCTCTCGGCACCGAATTATCTTCGACCCAACACTACGATCGATATTTCACGAGACAAGATACAAGGCTGCATCCATCATGCCATCACCCTAGAAAATGTTAGACTTCTTTCCATGCTGCTATCATGGGATGAAAGGGCTCATCGCTACTCTTCGGTGCTGAGTCCAAGCACCCAGAATACTCAGAATCCCGAGAGTTATGGGACGCCCGGCGAACGCTATGGGATACCCGGCGAGCATTTCGTAACTGCCACCCGGCAGTCCGAGCATCCAGGTCTCTTTCAGGTGCTGCTACGCGCGAATGCGGAATCAATCCCATATGATGATCTGGAAATTACATCCTGGGCAATGAGGCAAGGAGACCGCGCTTTTGGGGATTGGTTACTCAATTATATGATCGACGTTCCGGCTCGGAGACGAGATAATTCTTCGCTGTTCTCGGGTGGGTGGGCTACCAGGTTTGCCCGTCACTCCGAGGACTTCCCCGACGATCCAGACTGCTACATTTGGTGGGACGCCTTTGAAAAGTACGTGGAAGGGCATGTGGCCGGGTTGGAGGTGCCTGAGTTGGGGATGAGATAGCACAGGCTCAGTTCAAATGTGCATACGCTGCACGTGTGGTTCACGCATATTTAACATTTCGTATTTTTCCGTGCTTCCACAACTCCCCTGCAGTCCCAATCTGAGGCCTACTATACTACAGCAACTCTGTGTCTCCTGACTGACGCTGTCGGTTACATCTCTACCTGTTTGTGAACGAGTTATGCTGAAAGCATTTAATCAAGAAACAGAAGAGTTTGCCTTCTTGATTTTCCCCCTCCTTATTATGTGTTCCTATGCTCGTGTGTTGCTTTATAAAACACGCAAATCAGAGCACCCGCCAACCAGACCACATTTCAGATCATGCATGCCTTATGTTCACCTGCTGTGTCTTTTTTGCAGTATTTTCCCACACCTGCGCTCTTTAGTACTATGATCACCCTGAATTCAAAATGCATTTCAGAGAGAATTCAGACAATAGCATGACAAGTAAGTGTCTTGTAAATGTACACTATTTCAATAGATCCATCTAAGGATGGGGTTGGACGGACAAGGGAAGCTGTTTTATCTACCAATCATTTTTTTCATCCAGGTTCGTTACATTCATGAGCAAAAAGGCAAAAGGGACAAGATATGAAAGCTTTTGAGGCCCATAGCGCGAACACCCCTTGACATATCGACAAAAACTATAACCATGAACGGAAACCACAAAATCAATCCCTAACCATGGAAGATAAATTTTGAAGAACTAAATTACTTCCCAGACATCTCCCGTTCCCTCTCCTTCTGCTGAAACTTCGCCATGAGCGCCTTAATACTCGAATCACCTGGAGGAACCTCCCCCCTGCGCTCCGTAAACAAAATCTTCAAAAATGGATCGTCATTCCGCAACACAGCACACCTAGCCGCAACGCGGTAATGCGTCTGTCTGACAGGCCAGGGGAATGCATAGCCATAATTCTTAGCGCGGATGTTCATACCTAGCATGTGCTTGAAGGTTTCTAGATCGCGGTCGACTATTACTTGGCGTAGGACTGCCTTGGAACGTTCGCGCCGTTCATCTTCGTCAATATAAGCTTCCGTAGATAGTAATGTGAGGAATTCCAGCTTCTCGGGTGTCCAGGGTCGGCAGAGCAGTCGGTCGGGCATCCTGCAGGGCTCCCGGAAGCTACAAGATGGGAGTCGGAACACATCTGTTTCTTGGAAGATGGGGCTTCGTTCGCGGATCTGGACGGAGCCGAAGTTGAACCAGATGGCGATTTTGCGAATGTCTCTGCGGCTTTTCGAGGCTTCATTGCTCGTGCCGGGGGGGTTGTTATCGGCATTGAGTGTGGGTGTGGACATGGGCGTGGAAGATATGGTCGCGGTCGTGTCATTCTCTTGTTGCGCCTTGTCTTGCTGAGGTGGTTGAGGCTCCTGGGCTTTGATAGTAAGGTTACCGCTACCCCGGCTCCCTGGAGATCGGGTGTCGAGGCGGTTCATGGACTGCCAGTATGGCTCAAGGTTTTCTAGCTGTTGGCGGCCCGTGGGAGAGATGATGAGATGACTGCATTTTTGACGGAGGACGTGTTCAACGTGCTCCCGCTGACATTTCCGCATTAGGGGTAAGCTACACCACCGGCACTTAAGGAGTTCAGTTTGTAGGGTCGCTCGTTGCTCAGTAGTCAGGGAGAAGTAGTCGAAAGGGAGGTAGACTTTGGTAAAGAAATCAGTCCGTGCGGATTCATTGCTGCTGGTGAAGGCAAGCCGGATGAGCCAGGTGAAGATAACGTTGTTAGACAAGGAGAGGGCTACGGGTAGAGAGGCTCTGGGAAGATTGATTTCTAGACATTCAAAGAATATTTTCTGTATCAGTTCGACAGGAAGTCGTTCTATGGGCGCTTTTCTCAACGAATGATGCCATTCCTTATTCGGCCATGGCCCGCTGGCAGCAGCGTGTTTAGGTATCGATGTCTCCATTAGGATTCTCGGGATATACATATATATACTTGGACTCAGGACTCATGAGGTATAACGGGGTGGCAATCGTTTGGCCTCCCAGTCGTCTCCAGATATCCACAAGGAATAGGCAAAATACCCTTTCCCTTGTACTGCTCTCCGGTTGTGAGGCAGCGACAGGGCAGTGGCATATATGCAAGCCTTCTGCAATGCAAATATTTCCGGTGGTCAAGCCAATATGCTGCTGGAAGAGTCCGATAGCCAGAATCCAAATATACAACTGATTGAACGTCTGCCCACATGCATTATTTTCAGCATTCAAATCCTGACAGCGGAATATATGCGGCAGGGGATATCGAAGACCCCGCAGAAGAGAATAGTTTTGAACAACTCGTGAATGGGCGCTTCTCTAAAGCGGGGGTTTTGAATTTCGTCTAATCCGGATGTAGTCTGCAGCGTGTGTAAATGAGAACGATCGTTGCCTCCATCAACGGGCCGATCTAGATCTGTTTGTTTTTGTATGTCGTCTTTGGAGAACCTGGATTCTCAACAGTGCCTGCTCCCTCTTTGTTTTCTTATCAAGAGAGACGACAAAAAGGATGCCTGTGCAAAAGAACAATGGAGATTCCGCAAGAGGTCTTCTTGTATCCGTCCACTCACTCGTTGCAAGTTGCAGTAGTGACAGTAACCGGAATGAAATAGCTTCTCAGCCTGGAGAATGTTTCTTAAGACGCTCAAGATTCCATCCATAATCACTCTGTACCGATGCAGATCAAAAACGCGAAGGAGTACTGTGGCGCTGAAAGAGTTTATGCACGTTTAGTCGTCTCTTTAGAACGAAATCCTCTTGAATTCGAGCACCTTTGTGCAAGGTATGAGCTGAACAGGAACGGCCTTCCCTATCAGATCCTCACCCTGTAAAATGTACCGCTCATGTAACTCATGCACCGATAAATCTAGTCCCTCAAGCTATCTGAGGTGATCCGACGACCGCCTTGTCAAAAACTGGGGAGAAAGCAAAGAAAGCGGGAACCGCGGGAAATGACCAGTATGGAGTCCCGAATGGTTAGTGGGGAGGGCTTCTTGCCATTAACTACCCGATGTGCTAGATATCTGGCCTGGTGGTTTAGACCCGAGTGAGGGGAACCAGGGCGAACTAGAGAAGAAAAAAGGTTCACCGTAAAGAAGTCAAAACTGAAGAACAATCTCTTCCCCAGTTTGGCTTTGGTGAATTCTTGGACCTGGGACAGCCCCAAACCTAAGCATAACTACTCCGTACCCAATCTTTCTAGTTCAATTTTTGTTTCGAACAGCACAGGGAGACGCAGGTCGATTTCCGCATGTAACCTCAATCACCCGAGGAATCACGGATCCCATGTGTGTGAACACTGGACAGGGAACATCCGCGTCAGCAGAAGAGACCCATACCCTAGCGAGGTTGGCGCTGCAGCTCTGGGTAAAGCGCAAGCTAGATATGGGCTTTGCCAGTTACGGCGCATTGTAGCAAGGAGTGATAGCATGTCCTGGAAATACCATACATTATTAGTTACATGGGATGTCCTAATCTCCTCGTACGTCATCAACTTACATCGAACTAACTTCCAGCCAGTTCTTCAAAGACAAGACTCTTTGCCGACCCTGACCACTGGGGCGGGACATCTGCAAGGATTCTCACACCAGCAGCTCTGAACCCAACTGTCGGGACTAGCTGCGGAAGTCTGACCGCTGTGCTGGGATTCTGGGCCGTTCGTGTCCATGGTAATGGGTGGTTGGGACACTCAAAACCATCCACGTACTTTGCATGTAACTCTGTATGGATATCAAGTGAAAAGAATCCTTCCACACTTTCAATAGCGCAATACGAGCGTACGAGCATCTCACCTATAGTTAATTGTCATTTCGAGTATGGAATGAAGTTCTTTCCTATACTCTCTCTTTTTTTAATTTTAATTTTTTAATCTTTTACCTTTTTTTTCCGGGAGGCCGCATGGTATTTAATTAAACTAACCAACCATCGCCTACAGAACCATCCTCAGAACAATCCCAGTAATTTTATTAAACTTTCCTGGCTAACGACACACCGCCGCCTGCAGCGAAGATGCTGCGATGTATTCGGGTTTAGGCATGGTGTGGAGCACCTACACTTCATCTCATTCAATATCACTATTGTGAAGATTGCCCGACTATGCGGGAGTGCTACTTTCCAGAGATCTATCTGTCATTGTCATAGCTATTCTCACAATTAAGAACAAGAAAACTTTGAGTGTACTGTGAGTGCTACTGCTCTTTCGAAGGTATTCAAGAAAACTGAACTTAAAGAATAACTACGCAAAACTTTCACAAAGGAAGACTCTCAAATCTTCAAAGCTTCGATCGTTTATACCTGGCCACCCACACCCTGTAAGGATTTACCTTCTCCTTGCTCTACGAAAAGAGGAGAATGTCACTCTACAAGAAATGATTTCCACAATGGCAGCTTTCCTTTTCTTTGTCAGAATGTAGACTAAACTTGGACTAAATTGGTCTGATCTGTGGCATTATGATCCTCATCTTGACCTAGTCGACGTTCTGCAGAGTGTGTGTCTCATGACTGAAAACGCAGCTTGAAGTCCAAAGGTTTTTCAGGTGACATTAGTATCAGTTCGACATCTTCATAAGCAGCCAGCAACTAGAGTGAAACGGTTTATGAAATTCATCTTTGAGAAAACAGAAAAGGGGAATGAAAAGCAAACAGAGTTGCGAAAGTTAGATTGTGACATTCTAATATTCTGTGAATTGTCTGTTTCCTACAATGTCAAGGATATCTATGATATGCCCTCAGCTCAATTTAACTTGCTTGTTGCCAATGTTTAGGATTAGGTTCACCTTGACAAACTATTCAACCGGCTGATTTTCATAGGGAACCAGACATTTCTCAAGAATGATCTCTTTAACAGTTTCTCAGAAGCTTCCTCCTTACCAGACACGTCTACAAATGTACAGTTGTTGACGTGGAGGAACTAATAGTGTGTCCAGTCAGATTAATGGAAAGATCTGGTTGGCACAATACCATCAATGACTGTGAAATATAATTCTTTCAATAGAATTTTACTCACAGTATAGGGGAGCTACCCAAGCATTTCCTGACACGAATGGCAGATTGTAGAGGCCGGCATCAGCACAAGCCTTGGTTAATGTTATTTCTCAGCATAGGTATATGCTAGCATCAACTGAGATTGAGCATGTCCATGTTACCCCTTTGCTTACTTCTTCACAGACCTGTTTCAAGAATATCACCTTCAATAAAATCTCCTTCTTGAACAAATTTGAATATAAGAATCGTCTTCTGGAAATTTATACTTATATGCCATTAAGAGAAGATGGCCAACATAGTCAAGTTCTATGGTTTGGCATATCAGACTGCAAACGATCTTCATCTTCACCCAAAGGCTGTTCTCATCTAAATCACTGCCCACGAGAATATACTAATAGGTAGTTACTAGGTTGTATGTTCACGATACGACCTCTATACTTAGCAAGTACCAGAAAGGTTCAAGGGGTCTCCATCTTACCGCCTGCTTCAAAGATGCTGAGCAACTCGTCAACAACACGCATATTGCTAGTCATGGATGTTTTTTTTTTTTTAAAAAAAAAAAAAAAAGTATTCACAAAGTAATACACACGCCTGTAAAAGAGAATGGAACTAAGTGAAAGAATGAGGTTGATGTATGGCCTGGCAGTTTAAAAATGTGATTGTTGAAGTGGCCTATGGCCAGATGCCACATCAGAAAGAGATTCAAGTGGAGTAGTTAATATGTATGCTCCTCTACGAACTTGAAAACAATGTGTCAAGCTTTTGTCATTAGGGTCGTTGTCCTCCGTTCGAATGACTCGTATATCTATCCACTATACCACCAAAAAGAAACACTAGCAATGAGTCTGGGCTTTTAGGTACACAGCTTAGAATCGAAGACTCTTCAACTGGAGCTGTAAAGCTCCATTGCGCATTCTGATCTGGCTTCCTGAGCCAGTGTGCCATCAGTCAAGGGAGAAAGATTTCCAAATGGGTATCCCACTCCAGCGCATTTAGGATCATCAACATCACCTTCGATAGGAATCACTGACCTTGGCACTGATTGTTCTTTCGATGCATGTGTATCTGCCCATTTGAATTTCCGGAAATGCCCATTAGAGAACTTCAATGGTGAAAGGGAGGGCCAAGGTTGAGCTAATCCTTTATTAGTCTCCTCCCCGTTATTTGGCATTCATAGTATTCCACCATCGGGATTTTCATGTCCGCCAGGGTAAACGCTATGGTCAATCAGATTCTGCTGGAAGTTGCAATTATAGGGTGTGCTGCCCGTGGACTTGGTGGCACCCTTGCTACTTGCCATTGTTGATGGAGGAGATCCTGCGTGTCGCTTTCTACCACGGGGCCTTGAGCTCATTGCTTGATTGAGGAAGGTTTCTGGTTTGGAATAGTTATTGGGTTCAATTATCAGCAATTACGTGTGTGCACGGATTTGTAATTATATATATTTCCAAGGTCAGATAGATCAGGCCCTCCCAGTCTGGAAAGTATCTTGGTCTGCTTTGAACAAGCGGGCATACAATCACGGAGAAAGCCAGGAGCAAACTGAAAAGGTTTACAGCGCTGCTTGAGCTCAGCTTGAAATCGTCGAGTGATAGGTTTATGACGGTTCTGGGGTGGTCTCGGGCGACTGTTTCTTCGATCCAACTCCTTTAATGCATCTTTGGTAAACCAAATCTTTGACAACCTATATCATAATGCTGATGCTGACTAGTCCAGCTTCTGCCTTTTTCCGAAGTCGCGACGTGTTCTGTGGATGGGACCCAGAATGCCTACGCTTTCGAGACAGGTTCGGAGGTCACTGAACAAGGCATATCATATGGTCGTCACCATTTATCTAACTTATCGTGCCAGCATGCATCTAGGGAGGAAATGTGCCGAGGTTCTTGCTTTCGCTGAAACCATACCATTCAACGTTGTCCTCGGCCGGATCAAAACCGATGCAATTTCCCTGTGCTTTTCTGGAGCAATCAGGGAAACAAACGGGAGTTTTTGTGGCTCTGCCGGCGCATTGAAAACCTGGCATACACAGTAAGAACAAGACCATACTCTAATTGTTACGAGGTCTTACCAAGGCAAGCATGTAGTCTATTCCGTAAAAAGAGAATACGGTTCTTAACGGGATGAGTAGAACGATGGAGATACTAAAATACCGAAGTATTGCTGCTATACAACAGAAATACATCAAATTTAAGTGATTAGATGAGGAGCACCAAGACCCTTCACGAAACTCCTGAGTGTTTGTCCACGTCTAGGTCATATGCTGATAATGCAGTATTATGGAAACTAGAACGAGAATGAGATCCCACAGTGGACTTAATTATGAACGGATGGGTGGACGGTAATACCAATACTGGGGGGAAGGATTTGAACGTTTTCTTTGCATGTTCCAATGAGGAAAATAGTTGCCATTTTTGTAATTAAGAGATTTGGCTTTTTTTCCCCTTCGTTTCCTACATGGCTGCTTAGACGCATTTATCATATATCTTTGCTAATTAGTTCGTTAACTAACTAGTTAACTAGCTGAGCTTCTTAGTTAACTAATGTGCTTCACCAAGCGGCGGACACCACCGAGCGGCGGATCCTCTCCCAAAATCATCAAATATTCAACCTATTCAACAACCAACACACTTAAATACTTAAAATATTAATAAATTAAGACTATCTAATAGTTGAATATATAGCTATTTATTAGAGCAGCTCTGTGTAGTATGTTCAATAGTCCCACAGCTGCTGCAGTGTGGTGGAGCTTGCTATTGAGATATAGCTTTAATCTGAGCTTCAACCTGCATATCAAGCTGCTGAACACACCCACAACCTTCCTGTATAGATAGAATAGTATTCTGACCTAGATTAGCATGTCTCCATGTCTTTTTCTTTGGCTTCTGTTCATTCTCTGCTCATAGAATCTTGATTTTTTGATGATGAAGAAGAATAGAACACTCTTTTGATTCTATACATTCAATAATTATAACTTATTTACAATTCCCCTGGATAACTGTACATGATCTCTCACTGTGCTCAGCTGCAGTAATGATTTTAAGGATTGTATGAAGTCTCATTGCAAAGTCAGTCTTATCAAAGTTTTAGATATCATTTTTATAAATTTCATGTTTTTGAATAGCTTTATATATCATCACTAATTATTGTTTTATAATCTTTGAACTTATCTGCATTGCCCATTGATAGGGTATATAGTGATTATAGTGTGTATGTAGTTGAGAATGGTGTTGAATGAATCTAGATGTCCAGTTGACTTCAAGAATGATGATAAAATCAAAAAGTATGTACTTGAAGTAGAATCTGTACCATTCCACATAGGAACTCCAGTCAAATTGAAAAGCCTCACTTATCCACATTCAGTAATTGCTTGAGAAGAGTTTCCTCTTAAATCTCTGTCAATTTGTGACCATTTGTATGTGTGTCTCTAAGCAAAGAAAATCCTCCCCTTAGTGGTTGCAGTACATTAACTAATATAATCAATCACTTAGTGAGACAAATCATCTACTGAGACAGATCTCCACCATTCAATATCTTTCTAATTGAATATCACCACAACTAGATAGTAAAACCAGCTAATTATATTATAAATTACTCCCTGTATACTGGGAGTATATATGAATAGTATGTTCTATAACACCACATCCATTGCACTGTGGTGCTGCTCACTTTTGCGATTGCTTATCAGACTACTCTATTACTTTTTTTTTCTCTGCAATGTCTCTTTGTACACAATTCACCTTTTCTTAAACAGTCAAACCCCCTTCCTGGCTTATATATGTATGACATCTTTCTCACTTTCTCTTTTGCTTTGCATTTACAGTCTTCAGCTCTTTGTTTTCTCTTGTCAAAATAACAGCACTATGCATAGTCATCTGACATTCCTTGACTAGCTTTTCCAGAGCTTGATTGGTTAGACTGAGTGAACTCTGTATATGATGCTTGAGATATTTCTTAATCTTCTCACTCTGAAGCTTCAGTTGTCATATATTATGAGGTATGGCAGTAGTGCAGAAGGCCTGGGAGCTATATAAGGTCTTTGAGAGAGTTGATGTATGTATCTAAATATTGAGCTAAGAAAGAACCTGCTCTGAATTGTACAGAGCTAGTTCTGTAGCTCTAAATCCACTTTAGATGTTCTTTTCACTCAGAGCTGCTGTATGAACTGAAGAATTGATAGTTAAAAACTCATTCTTATCAATATAATTGATGTCAAGTTCTATTCTCTTCTTAATCTCTTTTCTGTATACTTGCTTTAATGAGGAAAAACAAGTAATATTTAAAACCTATAAGAGATAAAAGAAATGAGCTGGTATATAAAGAGAAATAATCAAGTTTTGAGTGCAAAACTGATCAAACTCAGGATCATTATGACTGTCATGTTCATTGAGAATCAAGAATTGATATTGACCAATCATACAGACTTAAGTATGTTTATTGAACATTTTTTTAAGCCAGATTAAACCCAGCTTATCAGTTGTTCATTCATTTTCACTGGTTTCAATCCTTCAGTTGTATGATAGCCTATTCTTAAATCAAGAAGTCTGATGTAACTTTCTTTTGAGAATGATCATTGAAGATAATAATCAGTCTGTTAAATTGACTTTCTCAATAATAATGGCTTATTCTATATTCTCAGACTGTACAAGCTTTGAATAGAGAGTCTTTTCTGACTCAGTAATCATTTTTGACTGTTTCAATAATTCTCATCTAAAATTCAGTCTCATTAAAGTTGTATATATTCTTCTGTACAATATCATATTTTTGAGTAGTATTCTGTACAAGCTCAAATCATTTTTGAATAATCTTAGAATCTTCACATAGAGCTCATTGATGATCATACAATCAGAAGAACTGAGTTTTCAACTCAGAATGACAGTCAATGAATCATTTAATCTAGCTTTCATCAATAGTTTTTGAGTTGAAAGAGTTGTTTCAATTAACAAGAAGAAAATTAGCTGTTTCTTGTACAGTGCTCACTCAAAGAGGCTGATCATATTCATTCATAAAGATTATTCACTGAACAAAAGATAATTTCTCAATAGAGGTCAGTTTTCAATTTTTTAACTGAGAGTTCTCTCACATCATATGGTTGTAAAGTTGGATGATAAAGAGTGGAATGAAAGATATTGTACAATCTAACAGCAGCTCTAGAACTAGAAATTTGACCTTTTTTAACTGTTTCAATAGCTAAAGTAAGTCTTTTTTCCTTGTATAAAAAATTATCATCTTTGATTGCTGACATTTTGATCAATTAAGTAGTTAAATGCATTGCATAGTGAAGATCTGTCTTAGTAGATGATCTGTCTCACTAGGTGATTGATTACATTAACAGTTAACATAATTAATAAGTGAGTAAACCACTTCCCACTCTCTATACAATGAGAATGTCTTCAAAGCCTCAACTATAAAGAAAAACTAGCAAATTATATTATAAATTATTTTCTATACACTTAGAGCATATATGGGCAGTATGCTCAATAATTCCACAGATATTATATCATGATGCTGCACATTTTTGTAGTTGCATCTCAGCAGTCTCAACCATCTTCTGCTCTTATCTATTGATTCTTTGTATGCAATTTAAGTCTTTTTTAATCCTCAAAGCACTCTTTTGAGCTACATATATATGGCCTCTTTCTCACTTTTTCTTTTATTTGGTATTTTGAGCTCTTAACTCTCTGTTTTCAGCTGCTAAAATAGTAACACTGTGCATTGTCATTTGACATCCCTTGACCAGCTGACTTAGAGCACAATTGGTTGAACTGAGTAGACTCTATGTATAGTGCTTGATATATTCTTTAACTTTCTCAGCCTGCTGCTTCAATTGATGTACATTATGTGATGTGACTGTCACCTAGGAGGCCTAGAAGCTGTGGAATGTCCCTGAAGGGGTAGAGGTATGTATCATGGTATTAAGCTGTGAGAAAATCTGCTCAGAATCATATAGAACCAGCTCAGCAGCTCTAAAGCTGCTTTTGATGTTGCTCTCAATCAGAACCTGCATCTGAGCTGCAGAATAGAGACTCAGAAACTCCTTCTTGTCAATATGATTGATCTTAAACCACATCTAATTTTCCATCTACTGTCTGTACACAGTTTTCAAAGGTGAGAAACAGCCAACATTCAATAGTTGAAGAAGATGAGAGGAATGTAGCAGCATGTAGAGGACAATAATCTGATTCTCAGTGCAAAATTAATCAAATTCAGCTGAGGCATAGCTTCAGTATCAGTCTAAAATCAACAGTTGATATCTGCTCTTTATACAGAGTAAAGTCTTCTTATTGAACATCTCTTTCAGTCAGTACAAGTCTAGCTGGTCAGTGGTCCAGCCATTCTCACTAACTTCAATCATCTAGTCATGTGATAGCTCTTCTGTCTCATACCAGCAGAATTGATGCATCTTTTTTTAAAGAATAATCATTGTATGCAAGGTCTAGTCAGTTGTATTGACTTCAGCAATAACAGTCACTCATTCTCAATCTTCAGACTGTATAAGCTTGGAATTCTCAGCTCTTTCAGATTCAGTCATCACTCTGACAGTCTCAATTACACTCATCTGAAACTCTGTTTTATCAAAGTTATAGATATTATTTTTCAGAATCTCATACTTTGCAATAGTGTTTCATACAAGTCTAAATCACTTATAAATAATCTCAGAATCCTCACATAGAGCCCACTGATGATCATACTTGTGTGAGAACTTGAATTTCAGCTCATCATGGTACTTGACAAAGTTTCATACCCAGCATTTACTCACTATGAGTGGGGGATTGAATTCTTGACTGGCAAGAAGGAAATTGGCAATTTCTTATACAGCTGCAACTCAGAGAGGCTGACCTTGCTCATCCATGGCCAGAATCTATTGAACAAGAGATTCTTCCTCTGTAAGACTAAGTTTCCAGTTCTTTGGAGGCATGTCAACATGTGCTGTACAACCATGTATGCAATGAATTAAAGTTGCATAAGAGACTTTATATAGCTTTGCTGCAGCTCATACACTTGAAATTTGATCATTTTTAAGTGCTTGAATGGCTAAAAGAAGCCTTCCTTCCTGAGTAGAGGCTTTATTTCTTTGTGTGATTGACATTTTTGATGCAGAGCATTTCTCATTGTACAGAGAATGGGAAGTGGTTCACTCACTTATTGATTACATTAATTTATTGATGACGTAAGCTGTCAGGAAGCCCTGACGCTAGTCCTAGAACGACAGCAATGACGTAGTATGACGTCACTCCCGCGTCCCCTGTCCCAGGTTTCTTTAGGAGCATCAACGTCAGTCAAACGTCCCACTCGTTTCTACCGACGTTACACTATCTTGGCGACCAGAGCCTTGTAAATATGCTCCTAGTTATGTATTGGATAGAACGATTTTCCATGTAGCAGTTGATCCAATGACGGGAAAATGACGATGATTGCCAGTTTGTAGACTGACTTCATCCCTGCAGGGGTTTTTTACCATTGGAAAGCGTTGAAAATACATCATTGTAGACATGATCAGGGCCCATTCACCGATGAGTTAACTACACAACAGGGCTTGGTATATAATAGGGTAACTCTCCGCAATTCACACAGGGAACGAACCCATCTTCCATCCTTCTAATTAGTTACCACAAAAAACAAACTGATTTACCTCAAAAGCCGACGAACAGAAAACAAACCGTTCTTTCAAACATCTTAAAAAACACCTCCATACCCATACACAAAACCTCCAATATGGGTGCCGTACTCTCTTGCGTAAGTGATTCCTCCCTTGTCGCCACTTAACAAACATCTGACGTTTCCTGTCCGTAACAGATTCAAGATGGCCTTAGAGCTATTGGCGGTTGTCTAATGGCTATTGTCAACGGCATCGGCAACATCCTCATGGCCATTGTCAGTGGCATCGTGTCCATTTTCGACGCCATAATTTCATGTCTCACCTGCGGCAGCTTCAGGAGACGGAGGTCCCGCATGACCATGGGTACCACTACTACACATCGTTCACCCCGCATGCATCGCCATGGGCTCAGGAGGACGAGAGTTTAAAGGAAGGCATGAAAAGATTCCAGGAGGACGTCGGGGGATATGCCGAGTCGTGGTATCAACACAGTTGTTGATGGTTGTTACCATTTTGTATTTCTTCCATGGTCGGGTAAGGTTATCTTATTGTTCGGACATTTGACCCATTTTCGCACGGCTTTATGAGATACGACTGCTTGCTTTGCATGTGTTTTGTTTAGGCTGGAAGGGGGCTGGAGACTAGGTTTTGAAACGCTGCTGGAATCAGGATAGTGTCGACTTTTTTTTTTTTTTCTCTTTTTGGTTGTAGTACCCCAATTTGTACAATATCCCCATATGCTTTCTATACCCAGTTAACGGGAGCATAATCTTCAATATTACCTGAATGATGTTTCTATAGATTAGTCTATGTTACCAATTGGGACAATAAATACAAAGTGATTAGGAAGGGTATAACCGTTGCTCACTATCTGATAATACACGGTGTATTCCAACCTCTAACACCTTGGAGACCTACCCGATGACTCTGCTCAGCCCACAGAGCGATCTCATATATTCTTCACTATTTTCCATACTCCTTTCGCCTTTCCCGCAAGAGCAGGGTGATACCCTGTCTCAACAATCCCCTTACACATCTCCCACGCACCCCGTCCATCCCTATTCGGTCCATCGCCCTTCTGAATGGGATAATCCACAGTGGGTGGTATACGCGTCTGGATTAGAGGATACCTATCCTCACAAACAGCTTTCATATTGCACAAGTTCCTCAATCCCTCTGCCCCACCAAATCGCCCATATCCACTACCCTTCACTCCCCCGAATGGAAGTCCTACCGCATAATAGACGGCAAAGTCGTTGACGGAAACCATGCCTGCTTTGATTTGAGACACACACCTCTCCACGTCTCGTCTATTATGGCCGAAAACACTCGCACCTAGCGAGTATTCCGTGGAATTTGCTATTCTGATGGCATCGGATACGTCCGTGGCCGGCATGATGAGGAAAACGGGCGCGAATAGCTCAATATTTGCAATCTTCATCGACGGATCAACGTTGGTAAGAAGAGTGGGCATGAAATAATGCCCGTGAGGATATTTTGGATGGTTATACCGTTTGCCGCCATGAATGAGATGGGCACCTTGTTTCACGGCCTCGGCAATCAGAGCCTCTAACTCGTCAAATTGCTTTTCAGAAATCAGAGCTCCCATATCCGGGGTTGAAAGTCCATGGTTTGGATTTTTCGAGTATTCGCTTAATTCGAAGAGGACAGATCCGAGACGGAGCGCTTTTATTACGGGAGTTACTGTTTCGATGATTTTGCTGTAGGTTCCTGGGAGTGCGATGACGCGTTCTATTCCAATGCAATTCTGGCCTGCGGATTGAAAGACGCCGCGTAAGAGCAGTGAGCATATACTAGGAATGTCTTTAATGGTCGCTGGATCGTCAAGAATGACAGCGGGATCTTTCCCACCAAGTTCCACGGTGACTGGAGTAAGCGATTTGGCAGCTGATCTGCAGACATGGTGCGCCACTGGGCGGGAGCCAATGAAAATGATATGATCCAGGCCTGGGTGAGACGTCAAGCTGTCTGCATGGTTGGGAAGACAAACGACGAATTGGACTAGATCTTCCGGATGTCCGCAGCTTGTAAGAGCACCTCGAATGATATCGCAAAAGTACTTAGAACTCCAAACCGTATGTTCGGATGGCTTAACAATGATGGAATTCCCGGCAAATATGGCGCTGATTACCGGGGATATCAAGTTGTGAAATGGGTAGTTCCACGATACACTGGCTAGAATCACACCCAGAGGCTCGTAGCGGACCGTATTCTTCTTGTACATCATAAGAAGGTTTGTAGGTCGGCGGTCGGTCGAAAGTGATTTCTCTCCATGATCAATAGTCCACTTAAGCTTCTCAGCGGTAACCAGGACCTCGCCAAATGCAGCATCTACCTTGGTCTTGCCTGAATCCAGGCAGCATGCGGAAACGATATCATCCTGGTGATCAAGAATGTGCCTATATGAATCGTTGTCGCTGTCAGGTATCTGAAAATACAAAACACTATCCTCGGTTTGGGGCGTTGTACGAACCTCAGCAACGTTCGTAATACCCTCCTCCTCTCAGCAAAATTTGTATGTTGCCATTTCAGCTGCGCGACTTCCGCTCGTTTGACCGCAATGTCTATCTCAACCGATGATGCTGGTTTGATTCCACGGGTCACATCTCCAAGTAAACGACCGTCGGCAGGGCAGTAACTGAGGATCTTCTCTTCATTCCATTTCTGGATTTTTTGAATTTTTATAATGGTTAGCGACGTTCACGCTCATATCATTCGCCATGGTATTTCCCCCCCCCCCCCCCCCCCCGACACGGCCGACCAACTACCAAAATATGACTTACCCCTTTCGCTTGGCCCTCCAAAATCTCCCGATCTGTAGCACCGACATCATCCCACGTCTTTCCATGCCATTTATCCGATATCTCAGGAGGAGTTGGCACTTGATACGTAACAGGCGGTGCTTCCCTCCCAAAAACGAATTGTCGAAGCGTCCACGCTACAAAAACCACCCCAATTACTGCGGTGAGCAATTCACTTAGCGTGCAGTCACCATATCTCTTTAACAGGGCCAAATAGGGATCCATTTGGCCTCCCGAAGAGTAAAACTGGCCGGATCTGTTGCAGAAATCGCGGTTGGGTTGTTTGGCAGAGAGTTGTCTTTCTCGAGCGGTCTGGTTCAAGGGGGAAATAATTTTAAGTTTGACTTTTTCCCGATTTGACTTGGTGGCTTTTCTGCAAAACCTGGGAATTTTATCCCGCTCCGGAAATAACAAGAGTTGAACATGAGAGAGAGGGACAGAAACATGATATGCTTGCAAAGTTGTTTATTTTCTTGAGATGTTGATTTTAATGTTCTCAACATTAACTTCATCCAGATATGAATTCTGCGAGTGGGAAGCACGGCTGCCCCTGAATCCTTGGAGTCATTCATGATAGATTACTAGCTTATGGATATCTAACTGCCCTGTAGATATTGATTTTAGTTAAACAATCAATATATCAGATGTCATATACAGCTAAATCAATACCATTGTTATAAGTCTGCGACTACAGAAATAAGTTCACTTCAACTGCAATGATCATAGCATCAAAATTCAACCATACATAGTTCCTTCTCTACATTACCATCGAAGCACCACCCCAATATTAACTTTCTTGCATCCTATTCACTTCAACTGGTATTACGTATAACAATCAACTTCCCCTCCCTTTCCCCTTCCGCTTCCCTGTCCTCTTCACAAGGTGCTCAATCACACACCCCTCTTCCCCTGGGCCGACATCTTCTCGTCCGCCAATTCCTGTATTAGCCCTACACCTGGCACAACTTTTTCCATGCATAACAAACAACTGATGCAGCGAATACTTCAGATGATCCGGAACCTTCGCGTCCAAGTGTCGAAAGGCCGTGATCTCATTGACACGGACAACATCCCTAGGCTTCCTCATTTTATTCTGCCCACCTAACCCGTTTCCCTTTTCCGCTTTCTCCTCCTCATTTGCCCCATGCTTCTCCTCCGGAAGCCATCCTAGCCACTTACACAGACGGACAACATGCGTATCAACCGCAAAGCAAGGCTGCCGGAGACAGAACAATATCACGCACGCAGCCGTCTTAACACCGATGCCGGGATATTTCGTGAATTCAAGCATTGCCTCGTCCTTTGAGAGGGTGTGGAGGTGGTTAAGGGAGAGGATGTGTTCGTGGCCATTGCCATCGCCCTCCTGATAAACGTCCCCTCCCATACCCATCGCATTCCTCCTTGCCACACCCTCCTCATGGACCATATCGAGAATCCTCTTGATATACCTACTCTTCACCCTACCCAAACCACCCGCCTTCATAGCATCATAAACCTCCTCTAAAGTTGCCTGCCGCACTTTATCCCAATCCACACTCCCCTCCCCAACCCCATCATGCAACACACCGAATCGGCTGACGAGTCCTTGAAGCGCAAGTGCGGCGTTATTGCTCGACGTTGCGCCGGAGAGCAACGTGCGTATCAATGCGTCGAGGACGGATGGGACCTCACCGCAGCCAGAAATGGTCAGGGAGGGTGCAGGGATTGCTGCTGGCATCTTGACTTCGCCATGCACGGTGGAGAGGAGCGTATTGGCTTCTTCGCATTGTTCTGGAGTTGGGAACGGGAAGTCTAAATATGGACTGATGCCCGGTGTCAACCCATAAGGACTACGTGGTGCCTTTCGGTGGCTTGAGGGAGACGCATCGTCATCAGTGGCATATTCAGTTGGACCCGCTAAGAGGCCATTTTTAACTGGAGTCGAATGTAAACCTTTGCTAGAGCCGTTCGTAGTTACCAATGTAGCCGAAGATCCAATCTCAGCGGTTTCGCGGTTGTGTAGCAGCCGATTAACATCAGCCCCATGTTCCTGTGATAAGTTCCTGCCTATAACCCCTGGGTTGGTATCAACCCTTGCCCTTTTCGCGCGATGAGCACTACTGCCGTTATCCTCTGTCTCCTTCATCTCCTCCCTATACTTCTCTTCCTCATCATCCCCATCCCTCTCCCTCTTGCCCAACACCACTCCCATTGCTCCCCGACCAGGTTTTGCTTTTACACCCTCTGATACCCTCGACAATGAAGGACTGGAACCGTTAGAATTCGCCCCTGATGGTACAGGATGGCGCTTCGCTTCACGCAGCGCTGCCAAGCGCGCGGCTACCCTCTTCAGGCCGCGTCGGACACGGCGTTCCTGTTTTGATATCTCTCGTTTCCCTCTTGTTGCTTTTGGCATGATGATTGTCAGATGAGGCGCGAGGCTGGATCAATGGAATCCTGGGATATGGGAGATAGGGAGAATGCAGCTATACTGCTTTTCTCCTTGTCTCAGATATATGAGAGATGACGGGCCCAGCAGTCTGCAATGAAATGAGGCTGCAGAGCGTTCAGGGTGCAGCAAAGAGCAAGCAATCGGGATGCAGATGACGACTGCGGGAGAAGGGTGTAAATATAGCGCAGAAACACAGACGATTGAGCATAAATGCGGAAGGAGGAGGTGTGAGCCAAGGGTTTTGACAAAGGTAACTACTCCCTCTCCCGAACAGGCAGGCACACAAGACCATTACTCATCACTCATCACTCATCACTCATCACTCATCACTCATAATCTCCATCATCTCCATCATCTCCATCATCTCCATCATCAGCACTGATCTGGTATATGCAAATTGTCAAAGAGACTATCACAGTGGCAGTTGGACTGGAAAATGTATGTGCCTGCCCTTTATCAACCAGTGAAAGACCCATCTATGTATGGCTTGGGGTGTGAGAGGTTCCTGACATGTGCCTTGCTGGAAGTCTGTTTGACATATAGTAGAATTGATATGGTGGTGTGACCTAGGGATTCTGAGATTCTGAAATCCGAGATGGGAATGATGAAGCAGGGTGTGGTGATGGCTAAAAGGGGCTCAGGGGCATGGACAGATTACATACCCAAGCCCTACCCCTCCTGCTCAGTGTCTAAAGCAATGCGAGGGGGATAGGAAGAAGTGAATCGGATGTAAGATGATAAAAATGATACAAAACAATATCTGCTTATGCAACATACCGAAACAACAGAAATGAAAAATGCCCATAACAAAAGCATGCAGTTGAAGATAATTGAGAAGAGAAAGGAAATGCAAAACACACCCTATGAATAGTCCCCAAAGTTATGCAATGAAATATCCATCCGCTCCTTAACCTGCGGCGTATGACTAGCATCATCATGCATCATCCGCGGCCTAACTGCACCGGGAATCACCTGGATGGGAACCCTCCCAACATCCAGGGCAATACCACCGAAACCATTCCCATTCCCATTCCCATTCCCATTTGCCAATTCCTTTTCCCCTTCTGCCTCCTCCTCCTCCTCCTTATTTTCTCCATCCCCTTTACCCCCAGCCGCAGATACATCCTCACCAACGTCCGCAGTCCGATTTACCGCAACGAGAACACCCCCCCTCTCACTCGCCATCCCTTCCACGACCGCCCTCCTCGCCCTCTCCACAACCTCCATCATCCTCCCCGCACCTCTAACCTTCTCCAAACGCTCAAAATACCCCTCCGGCACGGGCGTAACGTACTTCCCGCAAAATACACCCACCTCGAAATCCTGCGGTCGGTTGCCCTTCTGGTCGTTCTCGGCACCGGCATTTGCGCAGGCCTCTTTGAGGTCCGAGAGGGTTTGAAAGATTACACTGTCTGCACCGATGTGACGGGCTATCGAGGTTGCATCACGGTTGTGGGCTACCAGTTCACTAGAGGAGGCAAGGTCTATTCCGTAGATGTGTGCGTGACTATATTCATGAATCAGCAACAGATGGCAGAGAGGGGCCCAGGGAATGATAAAACAGGGATGAAAGCATACGTAATGGGAGGCGCACAGCTAGCAAAGTGCACCTTCTTGGCCCCTGCCTCCCTAGCCATGGTTACAATTTCCCTACTCGTCGTACCTCGCACAATGCTATCATCAACAAGCAGTACGTTCCTCCCCTTGAATTCCGCAGCCATCGCATTCAATTTCCGTCGCACTCCCTTCTGTCTCGCTTTCTGCTCCGGCATAATAAATGTACGAAACACGTAGCGATTCTTTACGAAGCCTTGGCAATACGGCTTATCGAGGTAGCGCGCCACGCTGGCTGCGGACGTGTTTGACGTTTCGGGGATGGGGATGACCACATCGATGTCCGCAATAGCTTCAGCACCAAGGGACTTCACGATTGTCTGCGCGAGCTTGTCACCCATTCGCTGCCGGCTGCGGTAGACGCTTATGCCATCGATGACTGAGTCTGGACGGGCGAAGTAGACGTATTCGAAGATATCGGGTGTGTAAGCTTGGCGAGGGTAGACTTGGCGGAAGACGGGTGTTCCGCCCTTTTGAATTATGACCGCCTGGCCCGGTTGAATGTCCTGGATGTTGGAGAAACCGAGCTGGTCCAGCGCAACCGTTTCAGAGGCCATCATGTAATCCATCCCGGAAGCTGAGGTGGCGGAGGGCCGCGAGCCAAGAACCAATGGGCGAATGCCATATGCGTCGCGGAACCCGAGCACACCGAACCCGGCAATCATGGCCGTGCAGGCCCAACCGCCCTGGCAACGCTCGTACATGCGGCTTAAACTAGTGAAGACGTCATGGTGATTGACACGGGCCTTCTTCGTCTCGTTGAGCTCGTTCGCGAAGACATTCAGCATCAATTCACTGTCCGAATCCGTGTTGATATGGCGATGGGCGTCATAGTCTAGGAATCCCTTCAGGTCGCTTGCGTTGATCAGGTTTCCGTTGTGGGCTAGCGAAATACCGTATGGGCTATTGACGTAGAAAGGTTGTGCTTCAGCAGTGGCGCTGCTGCCTGCCGTAGGATAGCGGAGGTGTGCAATGCCCATGAAACCAGGCAGATCGGCGACTTTGGCACCGTCCTGGAAGACTTTGGCGGCCATGCCGTTTCCTTTGCACTGGAAGATACGACCGCCCGAGGCACAAGTGGAGATGCCGCACGCATCTTGGCCACGGTGCTGGAGGAGGTACAGGGCCTCGTGAAGATCGATACCGGCAATGGCAGCGGTATCCGCGAGGATGAGGGCGAGGATACCGCACATCTTGGTTAGGACTAGATATTTTGGGATGTGTAAGTGGTGATTCTGTGCCAAGATGGATGAGGGGCTGAAATTAAAAAAAAATATATATATAAAAATACAAAAAAAAAAAAAAAAAAGTGAAAGATTACAGAATGGAGCAAAGATCAGAGGGTGTTTGGAGTTCTCCTCAAAGATAGTTAGGAAGTCTAACATCCATGTATTTTTTTCCAACTCGTTCATCATAATAGTGGGGTCGGGACATGTAGGGATTTATATTGCCATGGCCCGTTTGAGGCAGGGGGGCGCACACACAACAAAGATGTTATTCTCTATACACACCTGCTTTCTTCCACTGGATTATTCTGCGAATGGGAGTAGTAAGAGGGATATCGCCTGATATCAAGGTGCTCGAAGGGGATATATGTAGCAGCTAGGAAGAAGAAGAAAAACCAAGATATGATTGACGTTTTAGCACCCAGCTATCCCGTAAATCCTCTTTTTTTAATATTGTCTCTAAACCGAGATCGGGCCGTTTATCTCATGGCGGGTTTCTCGAAGAGGCGGAAAAAGAGGCTGGGTTCGATAATTCACTCCAGCATAATGAAGAGAAGAGTAAAGGAGAAAAGGGTATCTGGGGATATAAGATAGAGGCAGGGCGAGCAGTGGCCGACATGATTTATCATTGAAGAGAGGAGAGAGAGAGAGAGAGAGAGAGAGAGAAGGAGAGAACTGGAAACGAACGGGGATAAAAGAGATGAAATCAGACTTTACCACCAAAGGATAATTTTTTTTTTTTTTTTTGTGTGGTGTTAGCGGGGGAATAAAACGAAAATTAGCATTTCCAAGAATTTTGATTGTCTCGTTTCAGCGATGGAGCTTGGAATTAACCACGGTTGGCTGAATTAGCTTGTCACAGTCCTCCCGATTCCAGTTGCATACAATTATTACTTTTTGATGTGGGAGAAACTCCGATTCTTTCGTGGGGGGGAACATTTGTTCTCGGTGGCGGTATTATGTCAGCAATCCTAAATCCAACATCATCAAACAAACCCAGCCCTAATTGTTCAGATCTTTCTTCTTCGCCGCGTTTATTTTATCTTTTTACTCTCCTACTTCGGTGAAAAGTTGCGGGCGCAGAAGTACACTTTCATGAGGGGTGTCTGTTACGTCCTGGTTGTTCTGTGTATGGATATCATACCATCATACCACGTTTACATGGGTCAAGATGTAGTTTGGGCTTTGCTCTTTCAGTTTTTTGCATTTTGATATATCAGAATTTCTCATCACCTGAGCAGAGATTGACGAATGGCATCTTGCCTTCATTGCTTGCTGATAATAACAATGAACTCTCTTTTCCTTGATGTACTTCTCTGGGCGGTACTGATTGTCTGCATTGTTTTGCTTTCTTATTTCTGAGAAACAATCTTTAATTCCTATCAGGATGATGTATCCCCTTTGCATGGAAAAAAATCATCTTCAGAGTGGTGATGATGATTTTCTCCTTGCTTTGAGAGTGAAAACTATGATATCAAGTGTCTAAAGTACAATTGTGCAATTTTGATATCTCTATCTTGGGATCACAACTATCGATTAAACTGACCATCTATCTGCAGTTTAAAAGAACAACACAACACATAATTCATTATCTCCTTCTCTTTCAAACTCTCACTCTTCTAGTAGTTGTATCTCTTTTTTACTAAATGATCTGTTTATCATTCTGATTAGAAGAATCTAATCTGCTTCTGTTCTGTCTCTTTCTCTGTCAGAGACTCTATTACTCTCATCTTTTAACTTATCTGTCATATCAGATGCTCTGCAGTCTGAATCCTTTCTAATATGACCTGGCCATTTCCAGCCTCAAACACTATAGACACGGGACATCTATCTACCTCTTCTCCCATCATCTCACATAAAAATTAGGGGGAAATGGTTCAAATCTTACGCGGCCACGAGCCACCCCACCTCTCATCTCTAACCCCAAGGTCCCGCCAGCGACGGCGCCAGGAGCTCCAAGAAGCCCACCGTCACTCTCACCTCGACCAGCCATCCCCAATTATTCTTGATGAAAGCGACAGTAGTGACACCCTGGCTGGCGATGAGGAAGAAGGAGTCGACTTCACAAGCAGGTACAACGCTGGTGACTTTCTAGATGACGAGCACTGGGCACAACTTCTATCG